TGGATATATTATTAAAAAAAAAAAAATACAAAACATAATAAACTCAAGATCACACAAAATTCTACAATGGAACTGCAGAGGAGTGAAGGCAAATATAAATGAACTGCTGTTACTAATTACAGACCTTAATCCAGCTATAATATGTCTTCAGGAAACCTTCTTAAAGAATAACAATAAGATAAATATAAGAAACTACCAACAATATAATTATATTAAAAACTCTAGTCTTCGAGCATCAGAGGGTACATCTATTCTAATCAGAAATGACATACCACAATGTCTTATTGTTTTAAAAACATATTTACAGGTAGCAGCTGTAAAAGTGACTTTACACTGACAAATTAGCATTTGTTCGGTGTATATCCCACCAGATGAGATGAACGAGACCGAATTACAGGAAATTACAAACCAACTTTCCAACCCCTTTATATTAATTGGAGATTTCAGCTGTCATAGCACCACGTGGGGATGTAAAAATACAAAAACAAAGGGGAAAAACATGGAATCATTTATAGAAAACAACAACTTATGCATATTCAATGACAAATCTCCAACTTACATCTGCCCCTTTACAGGCGACCAATCCGCAATAGATCTATCCCTATGCGACCCATCTATATTTCTGGATTTCTCCTGGAAAGTACTGCCAGACATGTATGTCAGCAACCATTACCCAATCTGTCTACAAAATTCAGAACAAACTGATGAAAAATCTCAATGGTGGAATCTGAATAAAGCAAATTGGGAAGAATATCAAAAACTATCATCCGAAAAACTAAAAGAAGGATCAGGCATAACTAGCATAACCCAATTTACAGAAACCCTGATTTCCATTGCAAAGAAATACATCCCAAAAAGCAAAATCAAAAAGAACCGAAATAGACGTTGGTTTAACGATGAGTGTAAAACATTTATGAGACTTAGTAGAAAGGCTTTAAGAGACTCTTTTAAAAAAAAGAGCCTACAACTGAAAAACATGTTAAAAATCAAACAACTATGGGCAAAAACCCGAAAAATAATAAAAGACAGCAAACATGATAGCTGGAAAAATTATGTCAACAAACTGATCTCTGTGACAAAAACAAAAACTGTATGGGACATGGTTAGGAAGATAGCTAGCAAATACCACTCTAATGCAATAAAACACCTCACCAAAAATAACAACCAAAATAACCCAGGAAAAAGAGATTGCTGATGAATTCACAACTACTTTCTCAAAAAAACTCATCAGCCACAAATGGAAACCAAAAATTCATCATGGTTAAACAAAATGCTGAAAAGCAAAGACTAAATTTAAACTCCAATGACAAAAGCTACAACCTCCCTTTTTCAATAGAAGAATTAAAGGAATCTTTAAAAAAACCTAGCAATATGGCAGACGATGTCCATTACCAATTAATAAAAAAGCTACCAAACAAATCACTTCAACTACTGCTAAATCTGCTGAACAACATATGGACAAAAAACTACTTTCCAGAGCTATGGAGAGAATCTATTATCATTCCCATCCCGAAACCCAGCAAAGACGATTCAGAACCAGGAAACTACAGGCCAATAGCGCTAATGAGCTGTCTCTGCAAAACAATGGAAAGGATGGTTAATAACAGACTAACTTGGTATCTAGAAAGAAGCAACTTAATCAGTGATTATCAATGTGCTTTCAGAAAAAAAGAGAAGTACCATAGATCATTTTGTTCAGCTAGAAACCTTTGTCAGAGAAGCTTTTATCAAAAAGGAACATCTAATAGCAGTGTTCTTTGATCTAGAAAAAGCATATGATACCACATGGAGGTATGGCATCCTAAAAGATTTATACGATCTAGGCCTAAGAGGTAGACTAATGGAATACATCAGCAATTTCTTACAAAATCGAAAACATACTTTCAGATACACAAGGACAAGAGGAAGGAGTCCCTCAGTGAAGCATTCTTTCACTGACCCTTTTTTACATCAAGATAAACTCCATAACAAAATTCTTAAGTCCAGGAGTCAGATACTTCCTCTACATTGACAACTTTCTTATTATATATAAATCCCGATATATAAATAAAATTGAAAGGCAACTTCAGCAATGCAGCAACGCAATACAAAAATGGGCCACAAAAAATGGTTTCACTTTTTCAGAAACAAAAACAAAATCCATTTTTGTAAACTAAGAAAGTTCCACAACGACCCATGTTTGAAACTAAATGGAACAGAAATTCCAGTAGTGAATCAACACAAATTTCTCAGAGTAATTTTCGACAGAAAACTCACTTTTCATTCCCTTTTTGAAATATCTGAAAACAAAATGCAGCAAAGTTCTACAACTCCTTCGGGTAGTAGCCCACAATGAATGGGGAGTGAACAAACAAACCCTAATTAAACTTTATAGATCTTTACTCCAATCAAAACTTGACTCCGCCGTTTTATATATGGGACTACCAGAAAATATTACTCAAAAATGCTTGAGGCTACCTACCAGGGACTTAGATTAGTACTGGGGGTCTTTAGAACATCCCCAGTAGAAAGTTTATACATAGAAGCAGGTACCCCCCCACACACACAAACACACCTACAACACATAAAACTAACCTTACAATACTACACCAAAATAAAATCACTCCCAACAAATATAGCCAAAGAAATTACCCTAGACCTAAATTACTATAAGCAATATCAGCAAACAGGAAATGACATACTACCTTTTGGCTTTAGAATAAAACCCTTTGCAGAAGAACTAATCACTGCTATATCCAAGAAACTAAAACTCCCAACATTCCACCATGGACAATCAAGCAACCTAAAATGATCCTTGAATTATACAATCCTCCCAAAAAACAAACTCACCCCACCACCTTTAAGGATAATTATGGACAATTAATGGAAAAATTTCCTAACTACTGTAAAATATACACAGATGGATCAAAAAGTGGAAATAAAGTAGGATGTGCAGCAATAAACAAAGAAATCACTAAAAAGAAATGCCTCCCTTCAATAGGAAGCTCAATCTTCACTGTAGAGGCACATGCAATCAGCCTTGCTCTAGACGTAATCTCAGGAAGCACCCCCCCAAAAAACTTTATAATTCTCTCCGATTCATTATCCATACTAACATCCCTGAAAGGAGAAAAACTGGATAACCCACAAATTAATAACATTCTTCACAAACTATTCTATATGGAAGGAAAAAGCTGGATCCCTAGCCACATTAGAATCAAAGGATGAGACAAAGCAGGCACAGCAGCCAAATCCTCACTAAAAATGAACATAGACAAAAACATAAAAATACAGATTTGAAACCTGAAATAAACAAACTCATCAAAGAAATGGCAGAAAATATGGGAAAACCAAACCAAAAATAAACTCCATCAAATAAAACCTACAATAAAACAATGGAAAAGGGACTCAGATGATACCCGAAGAAAACAAGTTCTTATGACCAGACTACGCATAAGACATTCACACTTGACTCACTCTTACATCCTGGGGAGGATGGATCCTCCAAAATGCTCTTGCGGAAGCAGACTCACAGTGCAGCACTTCATGTTGAAGTGCATAACCATCTCTAAAATAAGACAAAAATATTATAACCATAAGAGCCTCAAAAGAGTCTTTGAAGAAACAGACATCAACAAGATATACAGTTTTCTTTCAGAAATCGGTATCTATAACAAAATTTTAAAAAAAAATTTTTTTTTTTTCCTTTTTACCCAATGCCATGATTAAGCTCTGCTAAAGTACTTGCAAGAGCCTTTAAAACCGGAATATCAGAATATCTTGACATGTGATTATCAAGCTATCTGTAAATATCAACATATATATCTTTATATCGAAGTATGAATGACAAGCTATCTATCTAGTTATCAGGGCCTGGATATCTATTATTGGCATTAAATAACCCAACGAGGTTGATATGCCATAAAATACAAACAAAAACCCCATCATTACACTCCTTATACAAAGAAACTCTGTTCTCTTGATTTGGTTACACTGATCACCGAATTTTATCTTTTGATTTGTGTTTTCATAACCGTCTCTCTTTTAGGGTGTATCATCAATCAGCTGTCAGCTAAATATCACCATATGGTTCCTTATGGTAATATTTTGTAACAGAATCACTTTTCTCTAGATTGTTTTCTGCTGTAAGAAAATTAGACTTTTGAATAGAAAGAAATCTTGCATCTCTCTCTCTCTCAGTATATCCATCAACATATTTTTTAACCCGTCTCATCTTGTTCCAAGTTATGTTTTTAATTTAACTCTTTCTTTCTGTTTGCCAATGTCACAGAAAGTTAGACATTCAGCATGTAGGTGAGAAGAAAACAGAAATTTTTCATTTTTATTTAAAAATGCAAAATTTTTCACAAAGAAAAAAATATTTGCTTTAGTTTAGATCTAAGTAAAAAGTAAAAGTAAGTCCCAAATTCTAAGTTGTTAATATTTGTCTTGCAGATTATTAATTTTCTTTCTTAATTATTTGTCATTGGCTTGATGAAAACTTTTTTTTACCAGCATGCTCTCCAGATCTTGTGTCTCCAGATTTCATTCTTTGGTAGCTCATAACAGACCTTGTCTATCATGAAGAACCTTGTATCATTCAGAAATTGAAGGCTCAAATTGCTGTAAAGTTTGAGGAGGAAATAGATATCCAACTCAGTGAGCATGTGTGCCACTTTTAGGCTTGTTTGGTGATAATTGTGCATTGATCACGAGAGAGAGAGAGAGAGAGAGAGGACACTTTGAACATTGAAAATAAAACAGCTTGGTTATTAATAAGTTTTCCTTGAATAAATGGTTAGATAAACATGTCCTTTGTTGATTTCTACCTTCTTATATCCTGTTATACAAAAATGGCAAACAATCAATCGAGGGTCATAAAAATTGGAATTGAGCACTATTTTTGAGTCACCCTGTGTGTATGTGTGTTGTAAATGAATTGTTTCTTTTGTACTTTTAAATTTTTTTTTTTTTTTTTTTGTATGTTTCATTTGTTATCTTTGGTTTTTTCATCTTTTTAGACTTGGACGTCGCAAATCTTCTGAAGGGGTCCATTTTCCCCGTGGAAAAGGCAGTAAGCAAAAATTTGGTGAATATTTTTTGATCAACTTACTCTTCAGTTTGTTGAGAAAGTTGTATTCAATCGACTTTGTGTTGATTAAATATGTTGCTCTTAAGATAAAAAGGGACATTATTATGTAACATAGTTATTGTGAGTTACCTTATAAGTAGATTTTGGAACAAAAGTTTTGTGAAAACTTCAATATTTAAAAGTAATGTCTATTTAGAGATATGCTTATTTTGTATTGCGATTTTCAAAGTGCAAAGAAAAGTACTGATATTATTACGAGTTTTTTTAATTACCCCAAACACACACCCACCCACCTTTAAATGGGCCCTTTGATATTGTTACAGTGATCCCTGTGACTGGTTGAAAAGGAACCAATCAGAAGGCCCCTTACTAAAGCTGCTTTGTCCTGATCTGCATGCCATGTTTGAATTTATTTTTCTTTCCCACATTGGCTTTCAATGAGTAGCACGTACAAAAAACGGTTAGAAATAAATGGTTAGCACAAGTCAACATAATAAATTAAAAAATAAGTGATGTCTATAAAAATTCAGATATTAAAAAAATGGCCTTTTACCAGACAAAGTATTAGAAATTGAATTTGTCATATATAGAAAAATGGAGGAAATAGAATAAAAGGTGATTTCTTATCACTCCCACTATAGGATTACCACAAAATTTTAATGTGGCAGACCAAATACAATTTCAAGCACTTGGCCCAGACTACAGTGTGCCAAATCTAGCAGCAGTGAAGTTGGTAAATTTGAATTTAAGAATTTCTTGATTCAATTCAAGAACTGGATAAATATGACCCGGACTTTGTTAATGTGAAAAGATATTTGTCAGAAATTAAAGCTGACTTATGCAAACTGAAATCTTACATTTTGGATTTCTTTGAAGAGAACACACTAGGCTTTGAAATAGTTAGCCATATAATTTCTTCAAAATTACCCCTACTCTTCAAAAAGAATTCACAAAGTTGGTAGCAATTATCCAAAAATCAATCATATTTTTGATAATTACAATGAGGTAATAAAAACTACTCTTAAGGAAAATAACAGCAATTTTTATGGCCAAGACAAAATCTTAAGTTGTGGGAAAGGAATTATAACAAGAACCACAATATTAAGGGAGTATTTTTACACTAGAAAATTTTTTGACTAAATTTGTTACACATTGTAAACTTAAACGAGCATTTTATGAGTCATTGTACTAATTGTTCTAGATGTAAAGAACCTGTGCCTTCTCTGTACAAGTGCTAATCATAGAACTAAAGACTGCCCTGGCCAAAATAATAGTTACCCTGTGAATATGCAATTTGTAAATCCAGAGGCTACGGTTAACCCTCTTTGTAAAGAATCTGTTAAAAGTAAAAACTATTCTTCTACTAAGTTGTGTACCAACACTAAGATGCAGGAACAACCCTTTATCTTGCCTATAGTGTCAATTACTGTATTAAAGGGAAAAAATAAATACAGATTCAACTGTATCTATTTGATACAGGCAATCAGAGGTCCTACTTTTCTAAACATGTGATAAGAAAAATTAAGATGTGAGGAATCTTTCCTAACTCCTGTAGAATTTAATGTTAAGACCTTCTTATGGTTTAAGAAAAAAAGCTTAAATCAGGTTGTATTGAGTATTGAAATAAATAAGTGTAGTTACCCTTACCCATTCTTATTGATGGCGATTTCCATATGACTTAAGTTTGATAAGTTTGAAACTGTAAAAAATAATTTAATAGACTTAAATTATAAATTAGCATTTCTGCACGAAAAAAATAATATGTTCATGGCCTTTTGGGTTTGGACATTATTCAATTTATAAAAAATATTGAAATGGTGGATTGCATGAAGTTTCCTGCAGGTATTTTCACAATAAAATCAGTGTTGATAATGTGGTTCTTGTAAAAAAATCCTGCTAAAACGAGACAATTTTGGCTTCTAGGAAGGTTTTTGGAATGAATTACCGATGACAACAACAAAGTCTGTTCCGTGCCAGTCAAAAGAGTTGATGGCTTTATTTATGTTCATTCAATTATAACTGTTATATTCATTAGAACTGTCATTAACTCATACTCACCACCCTAGTATCAAAACCTATTCAAAAGAATTTATTGATGGGGAAGTTAATATTTCAAATTCAGTTGTATTTAATCAAGTTCCACACTTTTCTCATTCTATTATTACTTTCCTCTCTTAGAATTTTTTTGTAAAATGCAAAAGCAAAAAAAAAAAAATTGAGATCATTTCTCATTTTTATTATTGCATTTCATTGTTGGAACCCTTTTTGAAAAAAAACCCAAAAAACACTTCACCTCCTGTAGGAACATAGTTTCCTCCATGTAACCTTTTGAACTGTGTGGCAAGTTACATTGCAATAAATCCATATTGCAATCTTGTTTTGGGGGAGAATATTGATATTATTATGAGTCTTTTGGAGTAACTCCCCTTTGAATAGGACCCTTGGCATTGTTACAATGATCTCTGGCTGAAAAGGAAACAATCAGAAGGCCCCTTACTAAAGCTGCATCTTCCCGATTTGCACACCATGTTTGAATTTCCTACTCTTTCCTATGTTGGCTTTCAAAGGATAGCACAAAAAACTGCTCTTGGAAAAAACTTCATCAACAAATCTGTGGAACTGGGATTGTAGTGCTTACTCCACATGAAGAAATATCTTCTCAATCCTCAGGAAGTTCAGATGCTGAGACATTTGCTGCCACCAACACAAGAAGAAAATCACAAGACCTCAAAGAACAGTGTTTCTTTTCTGCAAAATATTTTTTTTTTTTTTTTTTTTTTTTTGCAACACCATTATTGTAAATACTCTTCCTTTCTCCTTTCATACTCATAAACGGTTTGAATCTCAATAGTTTGGTTTCGTTCTTTTTTTTCTCATGTCACTGATTTACCCTTTTTTTTTTTTCTACAGTGCTAATTATCTTTTCAAACAAACTTAAATGGTGAAATACCAACAAAAGAAATGAAAAATTTATGTAATGTTATGTTAGTGGCATTAAATGATTGCATTTTCTTTGTATTCTTGTGTAAAGAGTAAATATTTTTTGACAAAATGAAAAAAAAAAAAAAAATTAGAAGTTCATCTCAAAAATTATCAACCTCTTGAGATTTCTTTAGTTAATCATCCAAATCAACATCAATCAAATAATTTACTGCATATTTTAATGTTTAAAGATGGAGAATTTGTAAATGATTTAGTCTTCCTATTATTTTAATACTATTTATTCAAAAGACTATATTTATCTCATAACACACAGTTAAACTTATATAAAATTTTTAAACTATATCAATTTCCTTATTTATTTCATGATTCATGGTGAATTTGAAAAAAAAAAAGAAAGTTATTAAAGTCTAACATTTAGCAAGTTTATTATTTTTTTCTTGTATAGTGTAGCTGGAAATTAAGAAACAAAAATACCACATTAAAATTGACAGAAAAAGGTTAATCTTAGCGCCAATTCTACAAAAATACAGCAAGATAATTTTTCATTAAAAAAATATGTAAGTTACCATACTAGATACTTTTATTTTTAACACAAAGCTGGTTTCTTACTTTCCATGCCTATCCTTAATATATAAACACATCACCTTTTGTGTTGTATGTATATTATAATTTTCTACTTTTTTTTTTTTTTTTTTTTAAATTTGGAAATAAATATATAGGGTTTGTTTTGGACATTGGTTTTAAAATTGTGGTCCTCTCTTCTGGATGCTTAAAATCCAGATGATGCAGGAATTTTTTTTAAAAGCTTTTTTATTGTATTTCTATTTGATAAAAATGTAAAATAAATCAATTACAATTTAAATATTTTTAAATATAATCTTTTCAGATCTAAATCTTCGATCATACTAGTCAGTTGTTGTTTTATTCTAAGATAAATTGAAACTCAAGGAAATAATAATTAGGATTTGTAATTGTTTATATGCTTTGAATAAATCATAGATACTGGCTCAAAATGTTTTTCAAAGAAGTCGTCAGAAGACTGAGAATACTGAACATTTAGATTATCAATTTCATTCATTTCTATAAAAAATACACTGACTATTTATATATTTTTTTCTTTTTTTTGCACACAGGGGCTTCAGTGAGAGGAGGACGTGGTGCATCTCGAGGAATGGCATCAAATAGGTCTGATCCGTTCCGTTCTCGGCCTCCTAACACAAGCCGTCCACCATCCATGCATGTTGATGATTTCAACAAACTGCAAAAGACCAGCCAGCAATTGATGGGACCCACTGGCATCAGTCGAAGACCAGAAAAAGTTAGTCTTTGTTTTGATTCAGAATTTTTGATTTTTCAACAACTTCTAATTCTTCTGAAACTATTTACACAATGTCTTTTGTTGTTTTTCTATAAATTTTCACTGGTGTAACTTGACTATTTCTAGATGTTAACTACAATTCCATGGTTTCTTTTAAATAGTGAACTTTTGCCATTATCCCAAAAGATTTGCAGATAAAAGAAATTTTAAAAATTTTGGCAAATTAAACTTATAATTTTAAGTGAACTCAAATCTAGTAAAACCTAAAATGATAAAACTTTTCTTAAACAAATCTTTTTGTTTGTAAAACAAAATAGAAATGAGCTACAAATTAGCAATTCACAAAATTACAACTTACACAACATTCACAAAAAATAATGAAAAAAACAAGCTAAAAATATCACAATAGAAAAAAGCTTAAAATACAATAAAAAATATTTTGTGTCTTGTGTACAAACTATATTATTTTTTCTGATTTAGAACAAAAGTTGTGTTCTACACAAAAAAAAAATGATAATTGTAAAAAGGTTGATTTTCTATAATTCATTAGAAAAAATTAGAAAGTCTTTCATTTAATGATGAAATAAAAAAAAAATATCAATTCATTTTATCTTTTTCTCAGAGTGTGAATTATCAAAAAGACTTGACTGTTCACTCTCTGGCATCGGCTTTTTCTCTAGAAAAGTCGCAGCCTTGATTAAACTTTTCTTTGTTCTGATGTGTTTTAAATACAAACAATAATCTTTATGAAATTATCAAACCTATCTCATCATCTTATATATAAAGTACAGTGTGTGTTTGTGTGTGTGTTTGTGTGTGTGTGTGTATGTGTCCAAGCAACTCCTCCATTCCAGCTGGTCCAATTTCAATGATTCATAGCTCATTGAAAAGCATTCCACTCTCCATGTCTGTGCTATGTCTGGGACCCAAACGAGTGGATTAAAGTACTTGTTCATGAATTTGGTGACCTAGTAATTGTTAGATCAATCCCTGGGCTAGGTAGTCCAGACTTAGGATTCAGTGGAAGCAGGGTGAGCAATAAATGAGCAGTAATAAAAAATGAACAAGACAAGATATCCCTAGCCAGAATCAGTCCCCCCTGTCTCCTACAGAATAAACAAAATGATCAATTTGATATTCCCTGTAGGTCATTTTTCAAAAACTTCTAATGTTGTTGAAAATCATCCGACTTTTACAAGATTTCCCCATATATCTATTTTTGGCTTTAAAATCTCTTTTGTCTTCTCATTACTTTCTCTTGATTTAAATCTGCCAAATATATTTCATTTTTGTACATTAATATTAAAATATATTATTATGCTCATCTGTACCAGCTACGTACGTAATGCTTTTAATGTTCCTGTCAAAGCAAATTTTCTTTTCTATTCAAATATTTGATTTTTGTAATGTAAAGAAAAAAAAAACAATGTTCTTCATCATATTTTGCAAATTTAAATCTTTGTAAAAATCATATTCACTAAAATATATCAAAGTTTGCAGTTGGCTTAATTTAAATGGATAATTTTTCATTTTTTTTTTTTTTTTTTTTAATTAATATCCATATTATTAAATTGTTGGTTAAAAAACAGAAAAATGATTTGCATGTTTGTTGTACTCTAAATATTGTCTACCAATTCTCTTCCAATAATTTTAACAACTCTTATTCTTTTACAGTTTCCTTTGATTTTCCAGGAGATGGGACGTGGAAGAGGAAGAGGCTTTGATCGGAACCAAAGTTTCAGTCGTGGCCGATTCTTCACTCCACCTGGAAATTATAATCGCAGAAATGCTGGACAATTTAGTAAGTAATATACTGTAATTTTTATCTTTAGTTTGCAATAGAGTCAGTAGTTCAAGAGACAAAAGTAAATGACATCCACAAAATCTGAGAATTTATATTTTTTAAAAAAAGTCTATCTAAACATTATTTATTAGTTATTTGTGGAGGGGAAAATATAACAATTTTAAAGCAAGTAATTTTGCTGTATCCTTGTCCATAAATAGTGATTTATATGTAAAATCCATTTCTTAAATGTCATTTATAAAAATTGAAAGCCAACAAAAATAAATATTGTGCAATGGTGAGCATGTTAAATTGGCAGGATGATGATGATTTTGTCATTTACAATTGGAGATTCTTATACATCCAAATTTTTTAATTATGACAAATCAACCAGATTAATATGCTAAAATTCATAAATGATTTTAACCAAATTATTTCCAATATTTCAATAAATACAACAACACTAAATTCAATTTTTATACACCACCCTCGCCATCACCAACAGCACTTGATGATATTTTCATGTTCACTTTCTGTAGCAGTTAAAAAGATGAGGGAGCAAGAATCATTGGGTTATGTAAGAACCAGAGGGGAGCTACTGCACTGGGCCCTCTTCATCTGACATCTCTACTAGTATAGAAGCAGCATTTTTCCATCATAATACCCACATTGATATTGCAATGTCAACTTTAATATCATATTAAAGTTGAATCACTTGAATAGTGCAGTAGCTCCCCACCTCTGACATCTCTCCTTGGAAGGTAGCATTTATTTTTAATGTCTATACAAAAAAGTCATTTTAAATTATTACACACTACTCCTTATCATTTCCTGAAATTATTATTTTTTTTATTTTCAGGTCACAATACCAACAAACCAGTGCTTTCATATTATCCCCAGAACACAAGGGGTGGAGGCAGTGGTAGTGGGGGTGGCAGTGGAGGAGGAGGAGGAGGAGGAGTTAACATTTATGGCAACAGAACAAGTCTGAATTTTAACAACCCAAGGCAGTTTATTCGAGGAGGGTAAGTAATTCAAATTACAATTTTGGTTTAGCTGTGAAATGTTTATTTTTAGTTTTTATGTGTTTGTTTATTGTTGATGATCAGAATATTATGAAATGTAAGATTCAAAAAATTAAAAATTAATATATACTCAGTCACCTACCGAATGTTAATTTGTTTTAGTATTTTTAGATTTTATGAATATATCAATTTCTTTCCCTAACCACTAAGAAATTTGTCTTATCTATTTGTATTGTAGAGCAATTAGACAATATTGCATTTCAAAAGTACAAAAACATTGCACATAGGAAAATAAATGCATGCATTTAGCAATAACTTGGAAAAAAAATAACATTTTAAAAATCAAATTCCAAAAGATCAAAAGAAAATGACATTAATATTTTTCTGGGAATGAATTATAACTAAAAAAATTTATAAAAGCAGAAACTTAGATGCTTTTTTTTGTTTTGTTTTGGTTACAGTAAATTTCATACCTGCAAAAAAAATGGTATGTCAAAAGGACAGTTTTTCCCTTGACACTGCTATTATTATTTTAACTACCTTCACTCTTCAGCAATATTTATTGTTTCAAAAAGTGAGGATTAGAATTTTAATAAAGCCTAAATATGTGAATGTGAATTTATACATTTTCCTAATTCTTGAGAATTAACAACAAAGATAAAAAACACTATTTATTAAATTGGCAATTAGCTGATGCCGACCATTCCAATAAACAATCAATTTGAAGTTTATAAAATGGTAAATAAGGATTTCCTTATAGTTGGTTCACATATTTTTAATAATTTAGTAAATGTTTATAAATTTATGAATAAAAAAATTGCTTTCATATTCTTTATAAATTGGCAAATGATATTATATTGCATTGTATTAATTGTAAAACAATTGTATTAGTTTTTAGAATCTTGTAATAAAGTGTTTAATATTTTTGTTGTAAATTCTCAACCCTGCAAAATGTATAAATTCACTTTTATCATGTTTAGGTTTTATTACAATTCTAATCATTGCTTTTTAGAACAATAAATGCTAATGAGCAAAGGTAGTTAAAATAATAGCAGTGTCAAGGGAAAAGCCATTCTTTTGGGGGTATGATGGTTAAAGATTGTCAAATTGTCTAAGACAAACTTCTGCAAACATAATTTGAAAAGTTTATATGTCTATAGAAATCAAATTTCTGATCTAAAATGATACCATAAAAAAGGAAAATATTCCATTGACAGTGAATGAAAAGATGTCCACTTCTCTCTTTATTGCCTGTTTACTTGTTTAAATGAAATCAAATTTCTGTTTACTGTACCCAAGACATTTTTTCTATTGTTATCAATAAGCTGTCTGAAAATATGAAAAAGTGTCAGCTTGTACAAATTAGTTTTATTTAGGGATGTTCAGATTTGTGATACCTAAGGTTTAAAATATATTTTTAAAAATGAAAAATCTTTCTTGAAGCTTTCTTTTTAAATCTTTAATTCAAAGGTAAAGGAATAAATTTACTATACCCAGTAAGCAAAATACTTTGGTATATTTAAAACCAAAGTTATATTGATTGGAATAACCTTGTTTTTTTTTTTTGTTTTTTTTTTTGTTTTCAGTAAAATTGAGGATTTCTGCCATTTTTGAGACTTTTGTTAACAAAAGTTAAATTCTCTGTTTTAAAAATCTTGCAAAAATAAAATATACTTTTTTCAAAGGTTATTTGAAGAAAATTAGAAAAGCCTTTCTTAACCACGATGTGTTGATTGATGGTATTGACAGCTAAGATGAGAAGTCATCAGATGGATGAACAGAATTGACATGAATAAGTTCACTTAAAATTCGTAAAATTTATGCACATCCAGAAACAATGTAAAATTCTTTTTTTAAAGGCCAGTCATTTGTAGATTGTAATAAGCTTTTAGATCATTTTTCTAATTAAATAATGTCTTACTTTTATTGTGTTTTGTATTTTACGGAGGTGATTTTCAGTAACTGGTCTTTCGATTTTACAAAAAAATAAAGATTGATGATTTAAATTCTTCAAAGACTTCTACTTTTAACTAATATAATAAATAAAAGTTACAACTTTGAATATCTTGAGTTTTCATAAGATTAAGTAAGGGTGTAACATGTAAAAAAAAAAAAGAGAAAATTATTTTCACCAAGACTTTTTAAAATAATTTCATTCATTTGTGAATAAGTTTCATTAAAATCCAACAATTATTTGATTTTTGCAAGAATTTCCAAATCAATGTATCTTTCACTGAAAAAAAAGATGCTAAAATTGGCTGTGTTATATTATATAGCCCATCTGCTGACGAAAGAAAAACATGATTTTTAATCAAAATTTCAAATGTCCTAAAATAATCAAAAAAAAACTTTGGTCTTTCCTTTTAATAATAATTTAAAGATTTTGATGATAAAACTTATTTTGGGTGCATTTTTTCATCATAGGATACTGTTTTTTTTCAAATTTGTGAACATCCCTAGTTTTATTTTTATGAAAAAATGAGATTTTGAACTTCATGATGTAACACCATATCCACACTCCACAAGACCAGCTGTTATTCCAGTATGGTCCAGTATTAAAGGTTAGACACAAGTCTCCGATTCCCAATGTCAATTCAGAGCCACCCTCCAGCCATGTTGTGATTTGATCCTGGTGAGTGGCCATCAGATTGTAGAAATCCAGAAGCTCTCTGTTGGTCCACCTGTGAGTTCATCAGGTGAGAATCGGGTTAACAGAAAAAATTAATATAACTAAGTCGATTCGATTTTGAAGGACAAAAGTTTTTTTATATATATAAAAGCAAACACAAAAAAAGAAAAAATTCTTGTTGCACATGATTGAATGGTTCTTGTATGTGAACAATAACCAAACAAACAAATACTTAGAATAATTTTGGTAAGGAGAGATGTGGCTTTCATTTTAGCCCTCTTTGGTCTGTTCTGAGTGCAACTACTACAACCTTCGATGTTCCCTTTCTCAGTAGCAGTACTTAGATGTTGGCGGCAGTATTTTGCTTCATCGCCTTCAGCAACACAGTGGACGCTTCTCTGAAGTCTCTCCACTCAGTTTGACTGCATTCAAAGACAGACAAACCCAAAAAACACACTTTCCTCTTGTTGACTTGCCTCTTTATTAAGAGAACTGGTCTCTGTGGCCCAGACTGATGACGTATCTGTTTTTCTAGTGCAAACGTACTGACATACTACCAAAGTACAACTTCACTCCTCTGAGAATAAACAATTTACTTTTTCATCGATTGGTTTCCAAGGTTCACAACAAAATACTGTTTATCACCTTGCTATTAATTATTTTGCTACTGTCTATATTTCTGGGATGAGGTATTATGTACGCTTACTGGGGTAGACTGTTCTAGTTCCATGTGCCACGTTTAATGGATGTCAGTTATCTCCTGTTAGTTTCATATGTTCGAAACTCCGCCCACTTCGTGGAAATAATAAAAAATGCTCCCATTCTATCCAGCCAGATGGTGAGCTTGGATGTGGTGAGTTTGTTCACCAAGGTACCCACGGAGGAGGCACTCTCAGTAGTCAGAGACAGATTGACCTCTGACTCTTCCCTAGAAGGACAGACCAGTATTCCAATAGATAATCTGATGGTGATGTTGACTTTCTGTACACAAACAACACACTTCGGAATGGGATCACACATATATTGACAGGATGAGGGCTTAGCAATGGGCTCGCCATTATTACCAGCAATGGCGAATATATACATGGAATACTGTGAGGAAATGGCATTAGAATCTATATCTCTAAAGCCAACTATATGGTTATGGTACATAGATAACACCTTCATACTCTGGCTACATCAGGAAGATGTTCAGGTTCTACTGGGCCATGTGAAATCAATAAGACCTTCGATACAGTTCACAATGGAGAAAGAGAGTAACAACACGCTCCCATTCCTGGATGTTCTAATATCTCGAACAGAGCATGGGTTCAAGACATCCGTATACCATAAACTGACATTCACTGGACAGTAGCTCAATTTCAACTCCACCATCCATATAGCTATAAAGAAAGGGATCGTCTGCTGCTTACAACACTGAGTAAAAGTCATAAGTGGTGACCCAGAGATATTAGATAAAGAATTGGTCAGTATAAGTAGTACCCTACAACGTAACAAGTACCCTGGGTACATGGCAGCAGCCCCAAAAGACTGGGATAGGCGGGTACAAGAGGAGGACAACAACACTCGGAAAACAGTCTGCCTGCTTTCTGTGAAGGGGTTATCAGAAAATACAAAGGATCTGCGGTCCATATAACATCAGGACAACCTTCAAAAGCTTGAAGACACTTCGCAGATATCTCTCCTGAGTAAAACCCCCCATAGAGGAGAACATGACTAAAGACTGTGTGTACGCTATCCCGTGCAGGTGCGGAAAGAAATATAAAGGGGAGACAGGCTGCCCCCTTAAGGTAAGGCTTCAAGAACACCAGAAAGCTGTAACACAAGGAGAAGTGGAAAAATCAGGTGTGGCTGACCACATATGGAGAGAGAAGGGAGATCACCGCCCTCTGTGGGATCAGGTTGAGATCATAGACAAAGAACACCAATGGAATATTTGTAAACTTAAGGAATCAGCACATATGCTAGGCCACAAAAATCTTCTGAGCCGACCAAGCATAGAAATGAATACAATATGGGGACCAGTAATAAGGAGTACCAGAGAAAAGTGATAATAACAACAAAAGTTGCAATATGAGCTCTGGTAAAAACATGAAATGATAACAGCAAAAAATTGCAATATGGGCACTGGTAAAAATGGTCGCTGAAGACATTAGGTTTATAATAGCCAGAAATTCATAGACAGATGTCCTCAAGAACACATGGCACAGTGGATAAAGGCATTGGTTAGATCCAGTGTGAGTTCAACACCCGGTTAAGGCAGGGGAGAACTGATAACTGACATCCATTAAACATGGCACATGGAACTAGAACAGTCTACCCCAGTGAGTGAAATAAAGTGTTAAGTTTGACATTCCAACCACCTGAAGAAGGCCAGAGCGTACAACGGCTGAAATGTTGCAATAAATATGGCGACAAAGATGAGGACAATAGTCCGAATAATGTAAATAATGTATTCTGCCACTCTTTTTTAAAACAAGAATCTCTGTAAACTACAGAGATTCTTGTTTTAAAAATAAACTCTAGATCAAAACATCCTTAATTTTAACTTCTATTCTTATAGTGTCAAAATCCATTTCTTTGTTTAAAAATTCCAAATTATTATTGTTCCAGTAATTTTCTATTAGTTATCTGATATCCTTTGTACACTTACAAAAAGATTCTATTTTTGTGTTCAAAATTAAACTTTCTGTAACATTTACATTTCAAAGTCTTTACAGCATATTAACATGTTGGTTATTCGAAAATGCCTCCCTTTCACTTGGTGTTTTCTGTTTTACAGCATATCCTCTTTTATTAATCATTTCAGGGGTGATATCGCCCCTACCACAATGATGAGTGAATTTCTTGTAAGAATTTATGTATGATTATTTTAGATAAAGATTTGTTCATTTGTCTCCTCTTTTAGATTGATCAAGATCTTTATTTTTTCATGCCCAAAGGTTCACATATTTTATGTGCTTTAAAAAAAACAGTCCATTTCTTGAGCTGTATTGATCAGAAGTTAGCATGGGCAGGTGAATGTATATTTAAATTGAATTAAATATTCACTAAGCAATGTAAGTAAAGGAGAATAATGAACATTGAATAAACTAAATTTTTGTTTCAGATTTTAGTGGTGTTTAGGCATTTGTTTATTTGCCACCTTTGAAAATGCGTTCCTCTATGATGATAGTCTTCAACCTGAAGATAAATATAAATAATTCTTGTGATGAAAATTTTTCAGGTTCTCTTTGTATTGTTCCAGTCTTGAAAAGAGGACTACAGTTGATCGAAGGACTGGACGAGACAACCGCTTCTCATTACGTGGGGGACGTGGAGGTGCCGGAGGAGGTGGTGCAGGTAGTGGTGGAGTACTTCCTGGAGCTACAGGAACTGTTGGTGGAGGAGGTGGAGGAGTTGGTGGAGGTGCTGGTGGTAGCAGTGGTACAGGGGGTGCCAATGCAGCAGGCGGAGTTAGTGGTGGCAACAGTAGCCATTGGTTTGCAGCAAAAGCCAAGGAACCAGATATGAGGTATGAAAAAAAAAAAAAAAAAAGCACTGGAAATTACCTGTTATATCTGAACAGAAAATGTTTGTTTTCTAGGATGTTACCAAGGCCCCTCCGCCCAACTGGTATAATTGGCCAAAGTGCCAATTAAAACTGTAACATTCAGTGCCCAAATCTTGGCATTATCTGCTGATTTCTTGAAATATGATTAAGCAAGGATTAAACTTTAGCTTTTTGTAGTGAATTTATAACAATTTACTTAGCATATATGTGGCACAAGGCTAAAAGTGTGGAGCACCCAGTGAGGATCAAACTTGCAGTGAATCTAATATTTTTCCTTAAAAAGTTGCAACCACTTAATATATATCAGTTTCTCTTTTTTGTAAAAAAAAAAAAAAAAAAAAAATCTTGTGTATCTCTGTCTTATCTTTAAGCCAATCGCATTTTATGTTCCCTTGAGTAATTTTTTTCTTATGCAGAATTAGAATTGGTAAAACTTTTGTCTGAAAAATGAGTGTAAATTGTGTGTGATAAAGAACTTTTACTTGCAATCCTGTTTATTCAATATTTTTTCTTTTGCAGATTTCAACCAACTTTTAGAGGGCGACGAGACACAAACCGACATTTCCGGTCATTTACTAAATGACTTGGCCAATATCCATAAAGACCTTTATACGAAGATGTGGAGATACTAAACTTGCTAGTTTTCATTTGGTATTATAAGTTAAGAAAATTAACTTCAAATTATTCCATTTAAAAAGAAAATCTTACAGATGTAAGGATCAAGAGCTGTGGCAAAAACAAAACTTTTACAAGAATGACCATTAACCTGTATATATTTGTCGTGTTTCATTTGAATGGAAATAAATCCATTTGATGTTATCACTCCAGCTTTTTATATTTAATTTCCATTCAACAACTGCTTCATTACAATAGGAATTGATGAACATGTTCTTAAACAATATCATGTTTATTTACTGACTTGGTGATAGATAAAGTATGAGCAGCATTTTCATCTGCACATGAAAATTTACTCATCCACAGTTCTTCCCCAGAATGTTGCTCCTCCTCAATGTCTCACCAAACTTTTTAATTTCTTTGTTGCAGTTAAAAAAAAAAAAAAAAATGTACAGATATGAAAACTTCTCATTTTCATTTCATCAATAAAACATCATTTGCTTCTTTCCATTGTGCTCAATTCTGGTTATCGTTTCTTGAATTAAAAAGTTAAGATTTTTATAAACAAGATTAAGTTAGAAGCAGCGGGTTTCATCAGAGTTCTGTGAAGATTGTGTATAAATATGAAAATAACATTTTTCTTTTTATCAGTATTTTTATTATGGCTTTTGCTATAAAAATAACATGAAAGATAAAAATTGATCACAATTTATCTAAATATCATGAAAGTGTCTTCAGTGCTGAGGCAAAAGAGAGAAGTTGATGGATGTTAAGCAATGCCCGACCATCTCGAGTAGAAGAAAGAAAATAATCATGGACATGACAATCACATAGTGGCTGATGCTGCTTCCAATCTCCAACCAACTGCCAAAATCTCGAACATAAAAAAAGAATTGCTGAAAAATAAAAAAATCAAATAAGACTGCAGTGATTTCTCACTCATAATTCCAGATGATGCAATTTTAAGGCATCATATATACATGCATAGTTCCAAATAATTGAAATAGATTTCTACAAATGTGTTCTGCACTTTTACTGAACATTTTTATATTAGCATGACTATATATATACATACACACACAGGCATGGCATTACCTGTGATGTTTGTAGTAAACTTTGCTTGAGTAAAGTAGTAAAATTAAGTCTTATGCAAAGTCGTCATCCGATGACCAACTACAAAATGGCATTAAATACTGAGAATTCATGTCACATTTGTGGAAAATTCTGAAGGTTCTCAGCTGGTGAGTGGAAAAAACATGCAAACAGGTACAAAAATAAACCCTCAGCTGGTGAGTGGAAAAAACATGCAAACAGGTACAAAAATAAACCTAATGACAACAAAATGTATGTCTGCAAATTCTGTGCCATATCTGTTCACAGCACAATTAAGTGTTCCAATGAAGACATCTTGCAATAACCATGTCTACAAAGGTAAGTCCCCACAGATTTACAGTACACAACAACAGAAAATGTTTTAATACTACTGATGTTCATTTAATAAATAATTAGGTCTTCACTAAATATTTACATTGCTGTTTTTAATTTTAGCTTTTGAAAAACTTAAACCAGGTTTTTTGGGGGGGGCCTCTGAAACTAATAGCATTTGTAATGTTTTTCAAGTGCTCCACAGTGCTGATAAGACTGAAAAATATGGTTATCCAGGGTGGGTTTTGCTGTGGAACAATGCTTAACAAGTCACACAAATTTCACATTTTGCTAAAAAAAAAAAAAAATTCAGTTTTCAGAAAAAACTTGGTAATTTTATGTTGACATCTTTTAGGCAACTTCATAATTCCATCCTCCCAAAATTTTACCTTTCTTACAAAGAACTGGTCTACAATTGAATTTTTTTGTTTCTTTTAAGAGAAAACTAAAAGAGCAGAAAAATTGTAATATTCAGCACTGTTACTGAATAAACTAGCATGACCTCACCTCCGATGTTTGTGGTAAGCTTTGCTTGAGTAAAGTAGGAAGAGTTCTAAATCATTGACTTGGTTTTCTTTAGAACTGATTTCTCTGAGCTCCTGTCTGGCAATATACACAATGTCAGTCATTGGTAGTGTTGTTTTAAAGTATTCACTTTTTTTGTCCTCATAGCAAGTCAAATACAAAAGTTTGTTCAACTTTGCTTTAATGTGTGACACTTCCAAATAAAATAAATTAGATCACCATCGCCTTTGACTGCAGATCATTGTTTGACAAGACCCCTCCATAAATTACTCATAAAACTAAGAAAAAAAGAGAGAAAAAAAAAATGAATAAGTGCAAAAGAAATCTGTTTACCATTCCCATAAAGTCAGACATGATGAGCACTATAAGGAACAGAATTCGTTTTGGTGACTTGGTAATAACATGGAGGGTGGTGAAGGCACATGTGACCAAAAGGAATGGAAGCCCTACCTGTTAAATGAGAAAAGAAAAAAAAAAAATTATTTTGTAATAAAATGAAACCTACAAAAATCTGGTTCATTTGTTGAAGGAGGCAATTTAAGATTTTTACTGTTCAATATCAGTATTTTTGAACCAAACAATTTTGTCAATCTTTTTTTTTTTTTTTTGTAGATTATAGCAGCCATATTTCTTTATATAGTTTTTTTTTTTTTTATGAAAGCAGTCTTACCAAAGACCTCCCCTAGGGTAGAATGACCAAATCTAATGACTTTTAGAAATTCTATTTGTCTATAAAGCATATTTCAAGACTTACAATCCTTTATAAATCAAAAGATGTAACTATGAAACTTTAATTTTAATTTGAATTACAGTTATAACAAAAAGTACTCAACAAATGAAATGATATGCAAGTGTCATCAGAATTCATATGTAATACCCCATGTAAAATTACACAAAGAAATTCAAAACATTTTGATTTAATACAGGGAACTGATTATATTAAATTTAAAGCGTAATTATGTAGTAATCCTTCCTTTATACATATTGTATTAAATAAAAAGGATAGAGAATGTCTGTTATGCCTTTTGGTTAGTTTCTCTTGATGATGAGTAAGTAATTTGATATTATTTAAGACCAAGGTTGAGAAAACCCTTTTGAAAGGTCAAAGTTGTTTTAATGAACTAAATAGAAGAATAGTACATTTTTATAAATTACCAAGCTTTTTTTTTTGTGCATAGAACATAACCTAATTTCAGCAAGTTCCATTACAAGTTTTCACTTGATATATTTGACAGCAGGAGAAACTCATCAAGAGTTTTAACAGACATTCCCTGTTCATTCTGTTTAAAAAAAAATTTCAAGTATTAAATCCATAAAAGATAAAATTTGATTATCATGCTCTAACAGGAAACCATATTTATTTTTCTCATTTAATATCAAATAATATCAATAATGTTATTTGGAAATCAGTTGCTTTAATTGTAGAACATTCTGAAATTGTTTATTCCATGAGTTTATATTTGTTATCAATTGGGGAAATTTGGATTGTTATTCTCATTTTTTTCATCAAACAAATTAGATATCTTCATTCCTAGATCAACCTTATGTTTCCCTGCCCCTTCAGGAAGTGACTGATAATGGTTCTTCACAGCTTCCTTTCCTTCATTGAAAGTTGCTGTTTTCCTCTGCTTATCTTTTGCCTTTGCTGTACCCTGTGAATGTTAATTTATCCAAGCCTTCTTTCTTATACATTTCAAATATTTCAGTTTTCTGATTGTTAGTAGCAGTTACTTTGCAGTTTTTTTAGAATTATTGTTATATTTCCCTCCCCTCACAGACATTGTATATATGGGGTTTAGTTAGTTTTTTCACAGAGACGATGAGGTATTATGGTGTTTGTAGTTTGAAAGGTACGTATAAATGCGTTGTTTTGGTGTAAGGAATATTATTCGTACGATTGGGTCAGTGTCTGCGGCTAGCTAAGTTAAAACTAAGACAGAAGAAGACCGTCCTCTCCCCATTCCCCTATTTCTGCCTTGTGCCACATTTCTGTTTTTAATTGCAGAATAAATATTGTTACTTTGCAGTTCCTTTTCTACTTAGAATTTCTTCACTCAGGTCCAGTCTATTCTCAATATTTGTTGATAGAATGACAATTTGATTGCTTTAAATCTTTGTGATGAAATTATCTAGCATTCACTGCCAGTAGAAAGTAGTCATTATAACCAGCATGCATTTCAAGATTGTGAGGATAAAGTAGAAAGATGATTAACCCTTGACTTCTTCAAAGAAGTAACAATGCAGAAATCTGTTCAACAAATTAGCAGTTCTTGGGAAACACAAAGGAAATGAGGATGATTTGACTCTGTGGAATGGTGTGGTGTGCCCTAGCTGTGAAGGTTTGAACAGGTGAAAGTAAAGAATGGACCTCATCTGATTACAGGTAGTTTTACTTAGTTTGTAAGAATGATATCTACCTCATTTACTTAAAGGAGGACAGCAATATCCAATCAAAAATGTTTGTTCTCACCTTGAATAGTAACAAAGCTCCCATGATGAAAGGACTGAACACAGTGAGGAAACAATAAACAGATGCAGGATCAAAACTGCCAAACAAAATAAAACATCAAAAAGGGAAAAATAGAAAATTAGTTGTATATAACAAATGATGCATTTCAAAATATTCAGGATGATTCCATAGATTTATAATTAAACAGAATTCATTTTTACTTAAGTGATACAAATTTTAATTATCAGTCATAATAGCAATAACATTTTATCTGTTCAAAATTTCAAAAAGAAATGCTGATATAAAAAATTTAAAGATGCAACTTTGTTAAACAAAGGCAAGAAAGAAGTTGAAATGTAAATGTTTCTTTTCAAAAGGGAAGAAGTCTGATTATTCTTACCTGTTGATGCTAGCAATATTGCCTGTTCCAAAAAAAGCAGTAAATATGAGGAAAACCTGCAGAGTTAAGGACAATAAACTAAAACTATTAAGATAATGCAAAATGTGTAAAGAGACAAACCAGGAGAAAATGAAAATGATCAAATAATTTCAGTATAATCATAAGTGTTTAATGAAACTTCATAAAACTTTCCACTCTATGTAAACAACACTTGCATCTCTATCAATAGATATGAAAAGCAGCAGTTAAAAGTATACAAAATAAAAATACCTTTTACACATACATAAATTGTGTATAAATAAGTAAAAACTTGAAATGATTTATCTTCCAACTTGAAATCTGATATCAATTATTTATTAAAAATAATAAATAATGTGATAATCTGTTAATAAATCTTACCCTGACAAGCAGATTTGTGTGCGTGAAATTTCAAGTTGGAAGAAAAATCATTTCATGTTTTTACTTATCTATTTACTATTATTTTATACAGAATAATTTATTTGTAAAAATCTGTTCACCTTGTATAGAAAGGGACAATACTGTTAATATCTATAAATGCTCTATGCCCAACATTTTAACTGAAACTAACCCTAACCATTTCCCCCCATAAATATGTGTGAGAGAGAGAAACATGTAGTTATTAGCCGAATTTTGATCTGAAATTTTCGTTGTATAATGTCTGATCTAATTCACCACTGCATTGATAAGGAAGCAGGTTTTGTTGAAAAATAAACATTTATTGTGCAAATATAAATGCTTTTTCATCATTAGGCTATAGACGTATTAATGTACTTAAATATTCACATTGGATGATATTTAATTACTATTCGATACAATATGTAACTGAAGAATGCAACAACCAAATTGTCTTTCTATATTTTTTAAAAAATCAATATATTATCTCTGTATTTCAGACATTCATATATGCATGTACATCAGAACAACATCATTTGTAGTGAAAAGGCAGAGGCTAAAAATCAATCTATGGGACATGATTACTTCTATTACAGTTCACCCATCAAAAAACAAGTACTTCTTAAGTTAAAATGAAATCAATTAGTGAAAAGGATACAAAGAAAAATGCTCTTCGAATATCTTCTTTCGACACATTTGGTTGTCCTTTTTCTGGCAGAGACGGTGAAGCAAAACTAAGCTCTTCCAGCTGAAAGAAAAAAAAAATTCTTGAAAGATTGGGAATAAATTCTTTAAATGCTCACCTGGAATTGATTTCCAAGAGGACAAAACAAATTTTAATCATTTAATGACTAACCAGAGATAAATAAGCTATTTCATTTCCTACACTTGTCCTATGAGAATAGTCAGAGAATTTTTGATTTATTGCTGGCCATTTTGATGGTTCATTCAACCAGCACCTTGTTCATTGACTATTGCCTGGGTTGCAGGAAATGATCATGTACTTTCTACAGTTGATTGGATCTGGAGATTAAAGCTGAATTTGTCTAATGTTGTCTTATGATTTATTAAATGATAAAGTTCCAGTGTCCTTAAGTGGGATTCTGGTCAAGCATGGATCACACACACACAAAAAAACCCCCAAAAAACTCTTAAGGTTTTATTAAAAACACAAGAAAATTGCTTTTAAACAACACTTATGTATGGTATCTACACATAGTTGTGAAAATGTTAGTAAGTCCCACTAGATTTTTGTAGAAGTAGATTTATGCGTCTTGGAAAATTAGAGCAAGGTGAATATAAACAATCTTGCTCTGAACTCGAACATGCTTTCTTGATTTAATTTTCTGTATTGGTAATTACACACACATGCACATATAGAAGTTATATGTTATATGCCACTAAACACATTCATAGGTTATTATCATTAAGATGTTTTATTTAAGTTTTACTGAAATTACTCAGATGAGTGAATTTATAATCATATTCTATGGGTTCAAAAGTGATTATGAACATTATTAAATAGAAAAATAATGGAATTCCAGATTCATATTCAAATAACATAATTTTAACTAAAATGATCTGCACTCACTAATTAATTATGAGAACAGTAATCTATATATATTTGTACAACCACAACATTCTCAGTCACCCAATGAAGATTAAAATCAGTATTAACAGAGATAATGGGGTAAAAAAAAACAAAAACATTTTTTTGAAAATTTGAAAAACATCATGGTAGGAAATATTTTTGAATTACTTATCCAGATAAAGAAAGTAGTCAGATAAATGAAGAGAAAGTCATTTTCATCTTCCAATTATAGAAATAAAAACAAATGAGGCAAAGCTGTTTACCTTTATTGGTGTCAAACATGTGGCTGAAGTGGCAATGCATTCCAACTGGAGCCAGAACCATAACAGACAGCATAAAGACAGCAAGAAGAAACATTCATAACTTTGGTGTTAAGGAAAGTTCAAAGACCAAATAGCAACAATGATAAAGAAGGAGTTATTGATTTAAAAAAGAAAACAAGAAGAATTAACCATTGTTTTCATATCAAAGTAGTTTAAAATAATTTTTTTTTTTTTTTGCAAATCTGAATGGTATTGCAACAAAAAAGTTGAGTGTATTGTTGAGGTTTTGCTTTAGAAAAAAAAATCACTAATGTGTGTGTTTTTTTTCTGTTCTTCAGAGCAAAATAATTAATACTACAAATAGTAGGACTCTGATTTTAATGAAATAATGAGAAAAAAAATATCAATAACTTTAGTATTATTTATAAATTTAGAAAAATATACACCCATGAGTTGCATAATAAAATCTCACACAATTATTGTAAATATTTTCAAGAAAAACAGATAAATATAGTATGTAAATTTCAGTTTATCTTATACTGAAGATTTAGTCAAAATTGTTTGTTTAATATCAATTTTATTGCAAAAACATTGAGAAAAAAAATCCAAGAGAAAATACAAACATTTTAGTGAAATTTTAGAACAGATTTTTCTTTCAGGAAAAATAGATGCAAATATGGTAAGAAAAAAAATATATAAATGAAAGGTTCATGTTTTTATTATAAAGCAATACAAGATGAGAATAAAATCATCAATATCTAAAGTTTTGCATCTATGATTGTATAAATGTGTTCACTAATAATATAAAAATATAATTCAACCTTATTAGATAAGAATAAAATTGCTAGTTGTTTTTATGACCTCCATAAATGTTTGTATTGGAAACATTGTCTGGTGAAACATAAGTAACACAAAGTTTCAATATAGGCATTAAAATATTTTGGAATAAAAATGATTTATAAAATTTGAAATAAAATCAAAGAAATTTAAAGAATATTTGTTTGCAATAAGGATACGAGATGCTCATCAACAGAAAAGTCGTAATGAAAGAGAGGCTCAAACTCAAGAGACGCTCCACAACTCGAAGGCAACTTAACAATGGTAAAATAAAGCATAAACCTAAGAAACAACAAAAAGAGATAATTAAGATAAAGCAAATAAGAGGTGGGGGATGTATGGTCATGAAATATTGTCATAAGAAAAACAAATTTTTTTTTTTTTTTTTACCATGAATTTCATTAGGAAAAAACATTAGTTATCGATTTAATATCTATAAACAATTGTGATACTACAGGGATATCTAAAAAGTCTAAGTTAGTTCATAAAAACTTAGATTTTATGAATTTCTGGAAGGTGTCCATAAAAAAAGAAAAGGTGTCTATAACAAATTCCTTTGATGTATGATAAATCATATATTCATGTAATTGCACTAATAACCACATTTTGGATCTATGACCAACAAGTCATTGGAGAATAACATCCATTTTCTATGATGTTTGCTCATTGAGAGTGGAGTTCAGTGGAACAAGATTTTCTATTTAAAGATAAAAGCAAGAAGGGGAAAAGATAAAACTTGACTTTCATCACAAAAAGGTGTGGTTGATAGAGTTTCCCTTTAGAATTGGTTCATGTAGCAAACTACTGACAAATGCACATGGCATTTGTGTGTGTGTGTGTGTGTGTGTGTGTGTGTGTGTGTGTGTGTGTAGTGTATTTGGGGCAGCAGATTATTATTCAAACATATACTGTTAAATATAACAGACAACAAATATCTATTATGTTTGATCATGTGTCGTTCTAAGCTTCGTATAGTAGATTTAGTTTCAGGAGAAAATAAAGACAAAAACTGTCCAACATTTATATATTTTTTTTTATTATGCTGTTCCTTGAATTTATGACCTACATCCTGTATCTGCTATTCCATAACTGTTATCATCACATAGCGAGCTTCTATGTAAACATAACAGGATGTCATCTTTGATGGTGAACATCTGTTATAATGTCCATATAACCAAACTTATGATGGCCTATGTGAGCTGATAGCTTAGATCAAGGAACAGCATAATAAAAATATCCAAATAATTTAATGTATATTAAAAATATGCCTTAATCAACATTCTGCTTATGACCACTTCAATATAATAAATTAAACTTCAAATTCTTACCCACAATTCATGAAATAAGGTTTTTGAGAAAATAATTATGCACAATATAAAAATAAGGTTCATCTAAGAAATTCAATAAAGAATTTTACTATTTGTGTAGGTAAATATCAAAGATGACAACATATCTGGAGGTCAGAAAAAATAACAGATGGCCACACGTTAAGATTTGAATGACTAGTCAGAAGCTCCTGTGATCTAACCAACAAGGTAGTTGTGTTAAGACAGGCATCTGGACGAAAAGGAATGAGGCTATTTCTTTATTTTTGATCTGCATTGTTGTTTGACAGTCTGTTAATTGTGATAAAAACCAACTGAAGATGAGATAAATACTAACTGAAAAAATTCATAACTGACAATACTGCATCTTAGAAATAAAACAAGAATATATAATGTGAATATTAAATAAGACTTTATTTTAAATAATTTTAATTTTCAAATACTTATAATTTAGATTTATTGTCAAAATTCACTAATTTTCTTATGATAAATCTATTAAAAATTTATGTAATGATATAAATTCATTATACAAAAAAATGATACCCAATAATAATGGCTGTTTTTGTTATTATTTTGTAGAAGTTTTTTATGCAGGTTAAGAATTGTAAAATGTAATAAGTGACTTACCTAAAAGTGACCAGCTGATATATTGGTTTATTTTGGGAAGACCATTTCGCAAAGACATGCTGTTTGTTGTTGACCAAACCACATAAACAGCCAGGCTTACTAAGAAAATCTATTGAGAACAAGAAACAATATTCAGAATAATTAAAATTTTTGTTAAATAATCGTTTAAAAAAAAATAAATGAATGAATATTTTACCTGAATTATTTCAAGTTTTCTGATTGCAAAAACATTCTTGCTTGATGAAGTTCTATCGAATAAAGAGTATAAATCAGTGAATCTTAATTTCAAAATGAGAGAATCACAATTTAATGATGGAGACAGAATTTTGTAATTTTAACTTTTAAATTAGCAAATCTTTGCTTTTATAATTTTTATTGCATTTTGTCCTTGATGAAAGTAAAAATTATCAAAGACAATATTCTTGTATTATTTTGAATTATTCTTCTCATCTTGGTTGATACAGATGCTATTACAGACACAACATTTTAATCAAGTACACTCTAGTCATCATCAAGTGTCCATTGACTGGTTGATATCTGTTGAGTATTGTGATATTTTGTCCCTGTTCATTCTTGCTGATTTGGTGTGTCACTACCAGATCCAAGGATTGAACTCCTGACAACTAGGTGACAGGGAGCACCAAGATAGTGAACCATAGTTCAAAATAATGCAAGAATATTGACAATTACTCATCTTAAAAATGAAATACTAAAGTGGTATGAACCTGCCATTATAATCAAATGTGAAAAAAGATCATCTGATTGAATATAAAAGGGTTCAAAAATACACCAGTAATGTTTGTGGCATAGTGGATATTGGAGTTGGTTATGAATGTGTTACTGTCATTTAGTGGTTATGAGTTCAATCCTTGGATCAGGTAGTGAAGCACCAATTCAGTAGGAAAGAACAACTGACATAATCTTCTATGAATAGTGTCTCTACAGGATGTGGGCAATCATGGCTCTCCACAACTTCTTGTCCTTTGTAGTCCTTAGTAAATTTGGTCTTTTTGCTATATTTCTTAATCCTTGTTCTGCCAACCATTTACACAAGTTGCTTAGGTAGGTTATGCACAGCTTTTCTCTGTCCATCTTGACTTCAATATGTCTTGTGTCAAATTTTCCAGACCCTTTCTCTTTATTATATGCCCTAGAAACTTCAACTGTCTCTTTCAGATGCTACACATATTTCCTCTAAAATTGTGTCATTGCTTATGTATTCATTTCATGGTATTCTCAGTATCCTCCTGTAGAACCACATTTCTTTTGCCTCATCTCCATCTGCATTCACTGTCATATAGCCGTACCACTATTACATAACAGTTCAGTTTTCTTTGTTTCCAATTTCATTTATTATGTCTATAATTTTGTCAATGCTGAAATCATTTAAAGCTGCCAGCTTCTCTATTAAATTCCATTTGGTCCTGCTACTTTGTTCTTGTTTAATTTGTCCAGTGCTGGTTTCACTTCAGACTTTAATATTTCTGATCTTTCCTATTTCTTAATGCTTTGCTTAACTTTTGCAAGGCATCTTTCACTATCCCAATGAGCCTTCAGATTTCAGTATTATATTTTCCATTCTCTGTTAAAACACTTTCTGGATATTTAAATATTTGCACTTGTTAATTTTCGTATCAACATTTTTGTAATTCACATGTTGGGTTGTTTCTTTTGCTGTCAACCATAGATTCTGTTTTCTTCTTACAGTTGATGTTTATTCTTTTCTTCTTGCTTTCTTTTACCATCTTCTGTAGGAGTTCCTATATTTTCCTTTCTCTCTCTGCTATCAACACTGTGACATCTGTATATCTAATTGCCCCCCAATAATGTATACTGGTAGGTCTTTTAATTCTTTCAGGATTGCTTCACTGTAAAGGTTGAATAAGTCTGGTAAGAAGACACCTCCTTGTCTTACACTCCTTTCTATTTTTGTGTATTTACTGAATTCATTTTCATGTAGACGATTTGCTCCCAGTATAAGATCTGGATTATTCTAATATCCTTACAAAATATATCAAACTTATCTAGCAGTTCAAACAGTTCTTTTTGACATAATTGTCAAATGCTTTTGCATAATCTATAAAACATAGGTATACATCCCTTCAAATTTGTATTTTGCTCATTTTGATATCATTCTGTGCATAAATTCTGCATTCATTGTTGCAGCATCTTTAATGAAGTTGTACAGTTCTTGTCCTATTTCCAGTCTAATTCTGCTAATTCTAATAAGTTTTGTTATGTGGTTCTGTAGGCTAATTCTTTGATAGAGTTTGCATTCATTTGCACCTGGCTTCTTCAGCAGTGCTCTGAAAATGGGTTTACTTAGCTCTTCCGGTATAAAACCATTGTTGTTAATTTCATTTATTATGTCTATAATTTTGTCAATGCTGAAATCATTTAAAGCTGCCAGCTTCTATATTAAATTCCATTTGGTCCTGCTACTTTGTTCTTGTTTAATTTGTCCAGTGCTGTTTTCATTTCAGACTTTAATATTTCTGATCTTTCAATACTTCTGTGTATTGCAGGTTGTCTTCTGTTGTTGTGTTCATTCCATTTTTGAAGTATTTTTTCTTTCTCTATTATCAGTGTTGCATTCTTGTATTTCATGCATCCTGTTGATGAGCAAGTCTTTTGTCCTATGTTTTTTCTTATTCATCTATGCATATCTACTTTATCTGGAGTACTCAATTCTTTCTATTTCTATGTACTTTTCATTGAGCTATTCCTCCTTTGCTTGCCTGCATTCCTAATTTATTTGTGCCATGTCCTATATTCTGTGCCATATGTTATGGGGAAAGAAAACAATTTGACTCAATTAATGTTGTTAATTAATGTTCTGCTAACAGTCACTGAATGACAGTCAGGTGACACCTATTGCACATTTCCCTCCTTACTGGGGAGTTAATTCCAGTTGGCTTAAACCCTCCCCTACTTCACACTGTTATCTTTTATAATATTATTCTCAAGAGTCAAGTATGTTCTTCGGATTGATAGTGGAGTGGTTTTCAGTTGCCTTCTCCATGGTGATTTTATTGCGACACCATCTCTAGTTGACTGGTTGTCAAGAGTACTTCTACCCTTTGATGGGTCTTATACTATATACTACAGGGTTGCTAACAACCTGTCTCACTCAATAAATTGGAGTTGGAGTGCCAGTTTACTCATTGACCATCTGACAATAGATTTCATATAAGTTTTAAATTCAAGTTAAAAAGGCTATTTTATTCTTTTTCTCTTTACTGGATTTCTTGGTATTGGAGTTTGGTAGATGTGATTTATAATCTTCCCTATGCAACATGGTCAAAAAAAAATGTTTTTTACCAAAATTAGCAGAAGAAAAATTAGTCAAATCATTAAAGTTTAAAGTGAGAACATAAAACAAAAAGTAAAATCACAAATGTATAGCAACAAGAAATTGAAGTAGTGTCAAATACTTCATAAGCATCCTGGCTTGGTATTTGAGTTAATAGGACATTCTGAGACTCAGCTTCCAGAGAACAATTATTTTCAACATGCCAACCTGCACAGGAAAGTAAAATATCACAATAATCAACAGATATCCCATATCAACCAATCATGGGACACCTGAGATAACCACAGTGTACTTGGTCAAAACATTGTGTATTAACATATCCATCACAGTTGTATATGCACTGATAGCACAAAGTACAGAAGAAGAAATTGAAAAGTTTTAATGTATGTTAGATAATGCCAAGGTTCTGTGAATATGACAGGATATTACAATCATCATAGGAAACCTGAATGCCAAAGTAGGGAAGGAGAGATGGTGAATAACATGTATATCAACCAATGAGAACAATAGTTTGAAATAATACAAGAATATTAACAATTACTCATATCAGAAATTAAGGACAAGTTGGAAAATATTTTAAATGAATGATTAAGGAAATAAATTTATCACCTGTAAAGAGCCATTAACCCCAACATAATTGTAATTCCACCTGATATATACCTGAAAATATAATAATTTGTTTATAAAACAAACAATAAATTCACTTTCTTAAAGCACTCATGCCCAAAATTCAAAACATATAACATACAAATATAGATTATTATTAAATTCAATTTCAGTTATAAATATTACTTTCAAAAAATAAAGAAATGTTTTGAAAATATTCTTATCAGATTATATACATTTTAAATAAATCTAATGATTAGTTTAAAATAAAAATGAACAATGTTAAAATAAAAATCTTAATAAAATAAAATGTATTTGTGGCATTATAGGTGCATATTTTAATCATTTCACCCCAAGCAAGGCAATAAAGTTACTAAGACACAAGGGGTTACTGAGTGTAAGAGAATATGACAAAAAGAAAACATTATTAAGGAAAGAAAATAATAAAAGAACAGGAATTAAGATGACAGAAGATAATGATTGACATTATATTTAAATTTTTGAAAATCAAATTTGATTGGAAAGCAGGAAACCAGAAGATTGTTTCATAAGTGAGAAAATGTTAGTATAGAACTTTATAGAAAAGGTACAGGGAAGCTACATTATGACAGTGGGAAAGTGACTGAAGCTGAATTACCAGGTCAGGACCAATAAAATTGCAGATTCTTCTTTTGATTTTATAAAGAATCTCTAAATATATAGCAGAAGCACCAGACCAGATGTGACAGAAATATTCAAGGCATAGATAATACTAAACTTATAAATGTGTTAGCTAGATTCTGGCAAGAAAAATTGTCTAGCATGACACAGTGAATGAACCTTCCTAGCAGCAGACATAACTGATTTGGAATAATTTTTCCACTTCATTTCAATGGAAAATAGTCCAAGAAGGTGCAAGGGGTTACTCTCCAGAAGGTTAGCATCAACCATGCTAATAGAATGTTAAAAAAGGTTCTATCAGACAATTAAAAAAGAATATTTTTGCTTTGGAGACATTAAAATTAACAAGCTATTTTTTGTCCCAGTTAACAACAGATTGTAGGTCATTTTTGAGATCAGCTAACAATTTGATCTTATTGAACTGATCTAACACACCATTAAGACTGGAGTAAATAGTTGTATCATGAGCATAGATAGAGAATTGAGAACTGATGACATCAGGATCAATGTAGGTCCATGGATAGAGGCCTGGAGGAAATCTGCATTAATGTAAAAAGATCTTGAAGAGTGGCCATTCAAGATAATTTTCATTTTGTGATTTCATAAGACTGAATCAGTTCAAAAATTCATCCAGAAATACCATAACTTTTCAACTTGTGAAGATTGGTTTGCCAAACCCTGTTCAATGCTTTTGTGATGTCTAAAGCAACAGCCTGAGCTTCACCATTCTTATCTGAAAATTGATGAACTCTTTAAGCAAAAACCATTAATTTATCAACAGTCAATCTAGAGAAGTGAAAACCATATTGCTTATCTGAAAGAACCTACAAGGTGAGATGCTTAATTAATTTAGCAATGATTAGAGCCTCTTGTACTTTGTTAAAAAGATGTAGAAGGCAAATAAGCCAATGGTTAAGAGGATCAGGTGGTTCATCTGAGTTCTTAAAGATGGAACTGTAAAAGTGGATTTTCAATAAACAGGAAAGCTAGTTGCAGGCAGTAATTTATTGTAGAGTTTAGAGAACAGGATACAGTTCAGGAGGACATTTCTCAAGGACTATTGCAGGGATATCATTAATTCCAAATGCTTTGTGAGGATTCAGTTTAGAGATGATAGCAGAAACAATGGACAGTTATATGCATATAGAGACTCAATAGAGACTCATTTTTAAGTGGAAAGCCAGGCAAACATTCTCCAGATGAGTCAAGAGTAGAATTTGAAGAGATTTTATTAGCAAAACATTCTGCTTTATCAGCAGAGGATGTTAACACCTGAAATTGAGTGAAGAGAAGTGAGATAGAAGACTTACTCTTATTAAACACACTATTACAGAGCTATCAGTAGTCATGAGAACCAAACTTGTAAGAGGCGATATGGTGCTTCATTCTATCAGCATACAAAGGATGTGTTTACAATTATTACAAACAGACACAAAGAGGTATCTGTTGTGATTGGAACTATCACACTGCTATGTAGAGAAAGATTTAGTAGCAAAGTACTAACATATATTTTCATTGTAAAATAAATAAGCCAGAAAAGGAAAAAAATGGCCTAAATGAGTCTTAGGAAGAAAAAATTAGAAAAATTAATGTGTATAGAACCTTAGCATGCTGATGACTCAAACACTGAACTGAATCAGTAGTTTTATAACATAGACAAAATGACTTGGCTTTTATTAATCACAAATGTGTTTCATGAGTTTACTTTTAATGTCTTTTGTTAATTTTTCAAAGAAAATAAATGTTTTCTAATCACTTGAAAAAATGAAAAAAATGCATGATGTGGAATGTCCACAAATTCAGCTTTGGAAATTTAGATGAAAAGGAAAATGTTTATTAGCAGTGCCCAGTTTCTATGCACCCAAAATTTTGCATAGTTTGGCAATTTAAACTAAGTGCTTTGCCTCCTAATTTCATCCAAAAAGATACAAAGTTGAAAGAAAGTTTTTTTATTCACATTAGTTATGTTTCTAATGCTTAATAGTGCAAAGTAAGAGAGATTCAGCAAATAAAAAATGCTTGATCAGTGGATCCACATTGAATGACTAGGTTCTGGGCTAGATTTTTTTGTCAAGAGAGAGAGAGAGTCAAGCCAATTTTATCAGAGACCAATTGTCATAAGAACTGTTTTCCTAGTTTTGGCAGTGGGGGAATTGGCTTGTTGTTAAAAAGAATCAGAGTCACTTACATTGCATTCCCATGGAAAACAGATTTTGAAACTGACAAAGTCATCATACACCTCTTCAGAATGTCTGAATGAATTTGTCCAGCTTAAATAACTATACTCAACTTAATAAACAAATTGATAAGTTGAAGATAGTCATTTACTGCACTATACAAGCTTCTTCATTCTTTTCTTCATAGAAGAATACTTAACAACTTTGACCAACACTAATAAGTGTTCATCAGCATTGTCCTATAAATTTTGTTCCATCGTATATTTTCACAAAGAATCTTTAAATAGGTTGAGAGTTTTTTTAACATTAAAAGCATTAATAAGATAGACTGAAAAAAAAATTGAAATTTAAATTTGGTACAAAGCTATATTTATATCTAACAAACAAAAATTAAAATGCACACTCATGATTCATAGGCTTCTAATGCACACTCATGATTAAATGCATTCAAATGCACACTCATGATTCATAGGCTTCTAATGATGATTCATAGGCTTCTAATGCATTATAAGCAGATGCTTTAGATTCTGTAATGATTTGAACTCAATAAAAGTTTTAAATATTTGTAAAAAGTGGATAATGGATAAAAAGAACATTGTCCTAATGAAAGTCATGGAAAATAATGTCTTAATAAGCAACTGATTTCATCTAATAACACCTTTTTACCATCAAATTTAAATTATTTTTTTCTTTTTACAATTTGTATTGTGATTTAACATTTATTTTTTTGTGTGGCTTAAATATAAAAATATTTTAATAATCCTCACTTTTCTAGAGATATTTAAAAACTCTAATTCACTTATTAAATAAATATAAAAGAAAAATTTGACTTACACCAAATTGTAGTTTGTGTCTCTGTTTACAACAGGTAAAAGAGGAAAAATAGCCACAGCAAGACAAGAAAAAACCCAACCCAGAATCAGAAACTGAAAATTGAAAAATGCATTGGCAACATCATTCAAAATCTTGTTAAAAGAGAAAATAATCTTTTCTGTATTTCAAATCTATTATAATATAAAAAGCAAAGAAAGTAGCACTTAATCTTATAAAAAGCTGTTTATGATTTAAAAATAACAGTGTACTGGGTTTTGAACAAAAATTTAACCTTTATTGGTAGCCAGCAATGTCCGTTTTGCACATAGACATTATTTTCATATAAGTTTTAAATGTTGCTGCTAATTCTATTGTGTGTAGAATGCAAATAAATACCTATTTCTTAACATTTAAAACATCAAACTAAATGAAGTCAATCCTACATAATATGGTATTTTTTAAAAACCATGTGCTCAATAATTTGAAATAAAGTAACAAATAAACAATTTAAATTATTTAAAATACAAACTCTTTGCCAATTAATCCTCATTTAGATATATCTTTAATTATATTAAAAAAATGCAAAGTTAAAAAGTTTAAAAATAATAATCTTTTCTTTTTAATGAGAAATTTTCTGGTTTATAGTGAAGACGAATGCATCAAATATTTCAACTACACAGTCATCAATTTGGTTTCAATATTGATAACAAAACATCTTTAGCTTTAATACTTGTATTTGCTACATTTTTCACATGACAGCATATTTTATCTATAGTCATGATTTATTTTATATGAAACCCTATATTATGCAAATAGCTCATTGTCTTTCATTTCAGTTGTCTATACAATATTACAATAAAATTTACAATATCTTTTGTTGAATATGGTTCTTTTTATATTTCATAAGAAAATAAAAATTCATAAGACAAAAACATTAATAGTGATCTGTTGTTTCTTAAGAACTAACATTGGTTCTCAAACTCTTTTTCTGTTAGTAACCATGTTTTCAAATGATTAAGAAAAATAATATAACAGAATGTATAATTATTAGCAAAAGTTTCTGATTTGTTTTTACACTACTACTTCATGTTTAATCCTTTAATCTTCGAAATTCTTTAGATTTTCAAGTTGGGAAAAAAATTTAATTTCGTTTGATATTTTTCAAGGAGTCTTTTTGAATATTGTTTTTCATGTTACATAAGCAGAAAATAATAATACAGTAAACATTTTGTTGATTTTCAAAGCAAACAATAATAAAAAGGTAATAGTCTCACAGGTTCAAACTTTTTTAATAGTTAATATTTTGTCTGTTGACTGACCTTATGGGATTTCCAGGAGAAACAGAAAGGAGCCCAAAATGCCATAAAAAAAAGTCCCAATGAAATCATCTGTCTCAAGAAGAAGCCATAAATCTGAAAAAGATAGAATTTTAGCATCATATAAACAGTGTGCTGGTAGCCTAATTTTTCAGTCATTACATATTTTGTTGAAATAATAATAATTGGATGAGCTATTAAATTATCTTTAACCAAATCATTGTCCTAGAGTAAAAATTTAATAATGAGAATAATATCATTAGAATAACTACTCAATAAGTTATATATATACGAATACCATCAAGGGTGGATAAAGTAGACTACCCTCACCCTGTCAAGAGGGAAAGAAATCAAAGGCAAAAAGAGAATAAAGTCTGAGGGAAAAAGGAAAGGAAAAGTTTAAAATATTTACATTGTTCAGACTGTTGTCCTCATCTTTGTTGCCATATTCACAACATTTTGGCCGTTGTTCTTCAGGTGATTGGAATTTTGAACCGAACCCTTTATTTTGTCCACCGGTGGTGATTGTTCTAGTTCCATGTGACATACTTCCTCCAGATATCTCAGTTTCAGTTTAGTAACTCAACCTTCCAAGTTTTTGTCCACCGCTGCTGTGTCCAGGTATTGAACTCACAATTCTTTGGTCAAGTCACTGGATTACTTCAACCAATGCTTTTATCTGCTGTGGGATATGTATGAATTTTGGGGACTTATAAATCTAATATCTCAGTAACCATTTTTTTACCCTTACAATTTGTTGTTATTGTTTTTCTCTAGCATTCTGTATTACTGGTTCTCATATTGTTTCAATCACCTGAAGAAGGCTGAAGCATACAACAGCCAAAATGTCATGAATATGGCAACAAAGACATCTTTAGCTTTAATACTTGTATTTGCTACATTTTTCACATGACAGCATATTTTATCTATAGTCATGATTTATTTTTCTGAACAGTGTAAATAGTTACAATATTTCATCTCAGAAATATAGATGGAAAGGAAAAGTGTATGTTAGGTTTAGTATAAACTGATTAGAGCAGACATACCCTTAGATATTAAATGCGGGAACAAATTACATTCTACTCAAAGGATATAAAAGATAGAGGTGAATATCTAAACTTAATCTAGCTATAGTATTAAATAGTTAATTAGTAGATTTTTGTTCTTTGCCAAATGAATGCAACCATGCAGAGAAGAGAGGAAATATAGCAAGGAAAAAAAAGATGGCAAAGAAACAAAAGGTACAGAGAAAGTTATCAAAAAGAGAGTGTGCTTAAAAAGAGGTCAATTACTCCATCCTGATTACCACATTTATGTAAGTTTCTAATATATAGGTAATCCACTACCTACATATTCCCTCTAAGTACCCAACAAAATTGTTACAGTTCTAATACAAAGTCTGAGTGTACAGTTATAGAAAATGTTAAAGTTTTATGTACCAGAATTTCCAATCCTGCAGTTATTCCCAGAATTCTTAGCAGAATTGGTACAAGCTGCCCAGAAGCAGCAGCAAATCTAATGGCAGTGAGAAAAATATCCTTCCTACATCAAAAAAATAAAAAGAACAGAAGGTAAATTATATTTATAAAAAAATGTTTATCTGGTAATGATTTTAGGATTGATTTATTTGTTGATTAAAAAAAATAATGAAAAACATTTAAATTAATTAAAAAAACAAACCTTTACTTGCTTTAAAAATACTTTTGAATAAGTAAAAATTAACTTTTTGTTGACAAAATTTTGTTTTTGAAAAAATTTACAATGGATTAAAAATATTTTAACTTTAGCTGGAAAAAATTACTTTAGACTAGAAAATGATATATAAAAATATTTGCCAATATGAGATGGTTATTAAACGAAAAACACTTACTTAAGTGTTGTGTACATCCAAAGTGACAGAGGTAGCATGCTGTAGATATAGTACATCAGTGGAGAAGACGTCACTATTTGAAATAGAAATTATCCTTAAAAAACAAAGTCTATTTCCTTCTCATCAAATTTTTGATTTTAGTCATCATGTTTTTAACTCTTTAGATGTAAAAGAATTTCTTTTTAATTCATTAATTTTTAATTTGCAAAAGAGTAAAGGATAAGACTGAAAATTGGTGCAAAATTAATGGAAAATGTTTTTATAAATTATTATTAAAAGTAGATTTTGGGAGCCATATGAAAATGGGAAGCTTGTTTTCTTTTGTTTTCATGGGGCTGTCTGAAAATTTCATGTCAAAGTTTGTTGTTGAATTTTTCTTTTTAACTCTCATCCCATTTTTTTATACAATATTTCAGAAAGAGAGTAAAAGTTGACATTCATAATAAATGCAGTTTTTTCCTATTGGTTGTAATAATGACACATTCTAGAATCTTGTAAACTTGATTGCAATTAGTTGTATACTTATAAATGAAATAACAAATATGAATTTCATTTTGTTAGAGAACAAATGTCAAATACTGGATTAAAATGAATATACAATTTTTGATACAATACAAATGTAAAATGTTATTGATTTTATTGCACAAACATAACATTTTATAAGAAAGCTATGTAACTATGAAAATAAAAAATTAAATAAGGACTTTTAATATTTAAATTAGACACTTTCTTATTTTGAATCATGATAATAGATTGGATCTTTAAATAGGAAACATTTTTTGTGAACTGATAAACCATTTATTATTATATGTCTTAAAAGATAAAACTCATTAAAGTAAATGTAGAAAAGGTTATACTTACCAAAAAGTAACAAGACTGTGAGGAAAGCAATGGAAACAAAGCAGATTTTAATAAAAGAACTCTTCTGCCACCACAGAAGAGTTGCCATGTCTATTTTGGATTTCTTGGTAACAAGTCCAGAATATTCTTGAAGCAGTAAAGATGATACAAATCCAATCCAGCCAATGAAACTGAATGTCACACTAGCACTGAATAGTAAGTGAATATAATCCATTAATAAAATATATTTTGTTTCTACAGATATTAACATATTCTTTTACCTAAGATTTTGATGAGTTCTTAAGTTAATATTCAATGAATTCTTGGACTCTTCTTATATATTCACAACTGTAGAAATGGAAATAAAACTGTTGTTCACCCAAGATACAAAATTAAGACAATTTTATCTATAGTACCTAAAATGATACAAATAAAGTAGACTATCACACATGTATATGTGACTGTATTTTTCTATAAGAATATAGAAGTATTTCCATTTAAGTGTATACTATGATTAAAAATAAAATTAAGACATACAATTTAGGAAATTTATGAATCTAGTTAAACAAAAATTGTCTAATTTAAAAAGAAAATAGTCCATGTTAAATAAATAAGGTTAAAAACTGTAGAGCACTTTTCCAAGTGATTCGAATAATGAAGCAATAATAAATATATTTTTAATTTTTTTTATATATATAAAACTAGATTTCAAATCCCTTTCTCAGATTATACAAAGGGGTGCTGAAAATTTCTTGGTTCAACCGAGGAGAAATTAAAAAAAGATTTAGTTAGAGTGTGGTAAGTGAATTGAACCGAGAACTTTTCAGCACCTCCTTGTTGATAAAACATGCCCTTAAACAGAAATGTGATAATGCAAATAAACTGGTTATGAATAGCAGACCCTTGAAGTCAATAATTAAATTGGAAATTATTGAAATGTAACTTTTCCTTTTTTAAGTTGGAATATGAAGACCTTTACATATCTCTAAAGACCTAACAAAGATTGAAGTTGGTATCAATGTAATTAATATTTAATAGACCTGTATTGATAGAAATAAATTACTAAATAACTCCCAACCCATGATACATCAGAACAGGCATTTTACTGCCAAATAAAAAAATAAAAAAATAAATAAAAATTTTTCTTTCTCTTTGTTTTTGATGACCTAATGGAAGCAGACAGCCAGGACAGTTCTTTGATAGAATATGTTTCTACCAACAGATATCAGAAACATTTTATCTCTGTATATGTAAATGTTCTTTAAAATATACAATCATTTCTCTGAAATGTATGCTAAAGAATTTTATCATTTTTCTCTATGTTTATTGTATTGTATCTTGTATATGATTTGTTTGTAATTTTTTAAATTCTGTTGTGGGCTGATGGTGTCTTTTTAACTCACAATCAAAATGACATATGTATACAAAAAAAAAAAAAAAAAAAAAAAAAAAGCAATGTTAGACAAGGTCAACGCATCATCAGAACAATTTTCATGACAGACCAATAAGATCAAAAGGAATAACTCAATCTCTTTTTTAATTAGTTCTTTTCCTTCTGGGTTATCATTTTTGACAGATTGTATTTTCATTCTGTCGGAAAACAATCTTACTTGGCAAAATTTACCTATTACTTGATACAACTAATTAAAAGAAAATAATTCATTCATATTTAATTGTTCATAAGATTTTGTTTTAACTTCTTAACATAATGGTGATAATAGATAACAAATGACATACCCCAAGAAAAAGCGGTCATATGTCTGATAGTATTGCAAACCTCGTAAGGCCAAAACTATTGCTCTTTGGCATTCTGCTATCTGTCAAAGAAAGAAAAGAGAAAAAGAGTTGATAATTCATCACAAAGTGTTGCAAATGAACTCAATAAAAAGAGAATCAAAATATACAACTTTAATATTTCTTGGGTCTAAATTTTAATCATATATTTTTTATTATAGTAAAACAACTTTGAATAGTAATGAGTATACTTATGGACATTCCTCTCAGTTGAAATAAAATGGTTTCTTACATTCAAGTATCATTAGATATAACATGTTAATGATAAATATACAATAATATTGAATTGAACAGAATTTGATAAATTCAATGGTTCAGTAGAATTCTTTTAGTTTTAGGAAGATTTTGAGCTTAAAGAGCAGGCTAGCAAATGTTAACAGGAATTTTCTTTTAATCCTATTCTTGGTCTGACTTTTCATGTGTTTGGCATCTTAAAACTGATTTGTAATTTTTACTATAGAGAATGCTTGAATCTCTTGCATCTTTCCTTTGGAATACAACACAAATTATACATTAAAGGTATTTTAGTGTGAAATTATAGCAAATCTTGAATTGTTGGTATGATAAGCCTTCTTTTTATCCTAGTCATCTTCTTAAAACTCTTTTATAGGGTGGGAGGGTTACTAGAGGATGATACAGTGGGGATATATTTAGATTTCCTAGACCTTTCAATAGTTGAACCACAAAGTCAGAGTTATTTTTTCTTATGTACTTTCCAACATTTAGTTCCAATTTGTTATCTAAAATGACATAAGCTTAATTAATAGTCCTTACATTCATATCAAATATATTCACAAAATTTCCATTTGTGGATGTTAGATGTTGGATATACAAATCAGGAATTATACTCTTTGCAGCTGTATCAGGCTGATTATTTTAAAGAGTAATTTGAAAGTAAAAATGGCTTAGGTAGGTAAACTAGACCAAACAGAATGACTAAAAACATATTTTCAACAAACTGTATGTACAAAATCAAATTTAGGTAACAATCTGTTTTTCTCTCTTTACATTGAATTTAAATGAACAAAACACAAACTTTAAGAGTAACTATAACTTTGTCTACTTTTAATATCTATAAAATTTCTTTCAAACCAACTTTTTCTTGAACAGTTAAATGCTAATAAGTTTCTAGACAATTTCTAGTTATGGCAACAGACGTTTTTATAAAAAAAATTAAAATCATATTGCAATAATTTAGTAATCATCTTTCTAGTTTTAATACAGTTTTTAATTGCAATAAAATAGGATAAATTTAATTGTAAAAATTAAAATTACTTTTGTACTTAAGAAAAGTAATTTTTTAATTTTTTTATTTAATTTTATTTTAGATTTGTTCTTAATTCAATATTTTTATGTAATTATGCAATTTTCTTGTAATTAAAACCAAAATTAAAACTTCAAAGCAGTTATTTAAATTATGACAATGCATTTCAAAATTTTTATAAAAATATCCGTAGTCATAACCAACTATTTCATATCTAATAGTAGACAACTTGTACAGAAGAGTCTTTTCACACACAGGCTGAAAGAGTTCTTGTAGTCTTCATGTAAATATTTTCCTAAAATAGTTGCTCAAAAGAAAATTATGACAACAAAAATATAATGGTTAAAATGAATACAAGAAACTTTGCTTCAGTTTGTTATTGGAATATATAATGTTAGTAAACATTTCTAATTCTAATAAAGTTTATTTTGATCTAAAATATTTAGATTTTAAATGTTTAACTGACATTTACATAAGCTGATAAAAGAACTGATTATTATTCAGAAAAAACAAACTTAGCATCATCTAAATTAGAAATAAAAGTAAATATTATTGCACAGATTATTATCAAAATGTATTCCACAAAATTATTCTCTGATTAAAAAGAGGAGCAGAAGATATACAGAAAAGATAGAGACCACCTTAAAATAAAATTGTGTTTTCTGAAATATATTTTGAAAAAAAATTAGATTTTGATCATTTGACTAATTTCTTTCTGTTCAATATTATGTCATTTAATAACAGAAAATAATGTTACAGAACTTACAGCATCTTCAAACTGACCGGCATGCAAAAGCCTCACAATGTGTCTTATCATAAAAGCCTGCCAAAAAATACAATAGAAAAAACAAAAAACATTTTAGTTCATTTAATTTTAAATCAGTTTCCTGTTGACCTCACTAGCCAAATTAAAGATACAAACATAGGACTTGATCAGATGAGTCAATCTAAAGCAGGATTTACAGTTAAGCCTATAAAGTTGTATTTTCACAGAATAAAAATCTTCATAATAGAAATTTTCATTCCTTTGACAGCTTTTTACATTAAAGGAAACACCTTACCAGTTAAAGCAAAAACATACTGTTGATTAAAATTGAATGTGTCCACCTATAGTTTATATTATTAATTTTTTTTTTAAAATACAAACCATAGTCCCTTTGTCCTTCCTTCACTCAACTTGTATCCAATGTTTAAACTTAAGATGCTAAATTATTTACTGTGTTACGAATTCACAATGTATAAAGGTATGAACCCCAGGTTAAAAAAATAAGGTGGGTACATTCAGAAAGGAACACATGAACAGATACTGATGAACAACAAACAAAAGATTAACATTTGGAAAAAAAATTTATAATACAAAATATAGAAAAATATTAATATGTTCTTCAGTTGTCTATTAATCTCTTATTAAAACATAAGAAAATATCATTTTCCAGTTGAAATAGGATATGTTATGAATGCATACAAAATGCAGATTCTTTACCAGTTACAAACATGACAACTACATTATTTGACAAAAGCAGACAGGTGTATATCAACAATTCTTTTATTTTCCAATAGATGGATTTGCCAAGAATTTTTATCTTAAATAACTGTCTTTCTACTTAATACTGATATACATTTATTTTAATACTCTTATTTCTAGAAGCATTAATTATAAGTAAAAATTACTATTTGATTAAATTTTAATAAATACAATTGTAAATTTTTCTAAGTACAAGACGATCCATTTCAATGAGTGTGATGATTTTGCAACCCATCTCTGATAATGAATCTGAATCAGGCTAAATGCTGTACCTAGAAAAGATTTGGCTCACTGGAAGTCAAAAGAAAATAATTTATGTTCAGTTTAAATAAATCAAAATCTAGATGGCTGTCATATGCCCTACTCGACGAATAATTTATAATGCAATCATACGCTGACCAGGAGATATATACATTATCATGTCTATGGAGAGATATGGGCTATCTCTCCCAGACCATGACAAATAGACAATTAGTAAACAAAAAATATTTAAAAGAACACTGTTCGATTGGGATAATCGAACAGTAATCCTTTCCCAGGTTCGTTTCGGTTTCAACACAAATACTGATCCACAATTCAAGGATGAACAATAAAGCGTAATAAATTTTGGTATAAGAATTTTTTTTATATATATATATATATATATATATATATATATATATATATATATATATATACACACAAGATATTAAAATAAAAGAAAAATATAAGCATGAGTAAAACATCCGATGACCAGAACCTCAAGACTTATGTTGGGATACCAAAATATGTGCAAATCCAAGTGGATTCGACTGAACCCGAATGGATAAGAAAAAAAATAAATATGAATAACTACGAATGCAGAAATCAATGCATAACCAAAAGACATGGGATAGGATTTACATATTTCTATTTTGACATGTGGAAAGGTGTTTGTGAGAAAATAAAATTTATGGATGCATGTGCATCTTTCTAACACGGGTCCAAAATATATGATTACTTATCTTTATATTCAGTTCTTTTTTATCATTGTCCTTTCTTTTCTTTCTCACGTTTCCTCTTTTCTTTCTTTCCTTGACACAAATTCAATTTCACACACGGTCCGGCTGCAACAGAGATATACACTTTCTTCCTCTCTCTGGTTTTCTCTTTTCTTTCTTTCTTCTTCTTTACACAGTTCAGCTTCAAACACGGTCCGGCTGTAACAGAGATATATACTTTCTTCTCTCTAGTTTTCGCTTTTCTTTCTTTCAAACACAGGCTGTATTCTCAGCGTACAAATTTCCTTGCGTCTTCTGTGATAAATAACTCAATTTATCTTCAATCTGGAGTTAACGAACAGGAATACATCCTTATATTTCTTATCCGGAGTTGCTTATGATGAATCGGACAAGTTCCATCATTACCAAAATGAGTCTCATCTTTCTGTTCATAAGTTATCAGCGCTTCAATTTCGAGTCTTGCTCCTTCAAAGACAAGACAGCAACTGACTTCCAAGTAATTTTCTAATTCCCACGTGTCCTGCATTTTGGCACAAATTCCATTTCCTGCTGCTTCACGACCTTACGTCAGTCCCCTGTCTAGATTCCGTCTAGATGTCTGTTGCTACGGATAACTGGGTCAGTCAACCTCTTGACCTGCTTTCCCAAAATGTCTCGAGACTACCAAGTGACCTCTTCTGTTGTCAAGCGGAGATTAACCTTAATATATGCGTGTATGGGCTATCTGCATTCGTAACAATGGCATCCTTGTATTGATTGTCATTGCAACTCATGTTATTTCTTTACTAATACTATAAGTTATCATAATAAGAATACTCAAAATACTATTAACTTGTACTGTTAAAAGGTTGTGGATATTAAGTTCAATACAAATACAAAATTACTCTCATTTATCTGGTGGATAAAATAATTTAAAACAAATTATGGCATTTCATTTATCAAGTTTAAAATAACAGAAAATGTGAATTAGAAGAGTCTACTACATTGAGAAGGGAAAATTTCCTGTCTCTATGCTGTGGATTATATGGGCATGTGGCTGAGTGAGCATTCCAAACATGAGAAATAGGTTCAAATCTCATCACAGTCAATTTGTCTAGGTGAAGACTTCTTAATACTTCTTGCTTGGTGCCATTGGGAAGTGTCTGAAAACCATACAAAGCTTGGGTCAGCCCATAGTAAGTAAAATTGTGTGGACAAAACTGTTTGGAAGATTTTAATAATTGGCTAGTATGAAGCCAACAGTAATTGTAAACAAGATTTCCAGTGTACTGGCCTTATTCAATTACTGATCATGCCAGATTATGTGCTCTATCCCAGAAACAGTAACTAAGATCTGCTCAGTATATTTGCAGTATAAACCACAGGTTGGTTCAATTATGGATGTTAAAGAAACACAAACATGCCTGAAGAGGTATCTGCAACAGGGATCAGTTAGCTGCACTAGCAGATGAGCAAACTCAGAAATGAACAATTACATTATATAGTGGATTCTAATGATACAAACACTAATTATGTATATTCAAACAATAACAATAAACCTAAAGCTCCATAATTAATACCCTAATATTTAAGATGCCACAAAGCCAGATAAAAAAAACAAACTACTAAATAAGAAAAATGAAATAATGAGTAAATGCAGACATATAAACAAAACACTTACTTTGACATTTAAGTATATATATATATATATATATATATATATATGAGGGGGGTGTATAAAAAAATTTCACATATAATTACAATATATTTACGCCACTTAGCATCCTCCATAATTTACTTAGACTTTTCAGTTAACCTAATGAATATTTATGAACATCTGTTAAATTTTAAAATTTTGAAAACTAACATTTTACTTTTGTTTATAATAAAATGTTTTGTTAGATAATAAATTGTTTACGTTGATAAAGTCCATCAGAGATTGAAACACATTGGCTAAGTTTTCCTTTTGTCTTATATATGTATAATGTGTATATATATATATATATATATATATATATATATATATATATGCAATTTTTATATATATTACTTATATATTGTATATGTGTGGTACTTATTGAAAAGCACTCAATATCAGCAATAGAGCTAACATATTTAGTTGTGTTGATGTCAGTTTAGACACTGGGTTTCACACCCTTTGTGATTGTCACACAATTGTCTGATGACCACAAAGGCCGTGAAACCCAGGGCCTAAACTCTCACATCAACGATATATATATATATATATATATCCAGGTAAAATGAGAACAAATGGAGTATAATTCCATTATCCTTAACATTTTAATTTAAAAAGGGCTCATTACAGAGTAGAGCTAAATATTATTTATTTTAGGATTTAAAAATAAAAACATGTTAAAAATTGCTACATATTGGTAATTATGTTTCAACACTACAAATGTGTCTCCTCAGGTGATAGTAAACTACTGGTGAGTGAACAATTAATTTAATTTCAAAAGCAGAATACTACTACTTTTTTTCCAAGAAAAAAAAAACAAAAACAAAATTAAAAAGAGGCTTGTGGGCTTTACTGTGATTAACCAATAGAATGTTACCTACGCTAAATTCAATAATTCCGAAAAAATCTTTTTAATATAGGTCATGACATGAAGTTGTCTGCATATAAATCCTAGACAATTTCATTGTGGACTGATACAAATGGTTACATTATTTCGTAAGATGTATAGAAGTTTGGCATTCAACTTTCCTAAGAAGTAAAAGCAAATGAGGTAGGGAGTTAATTTAACAAAATGTTAACTAGTTATAAGCTTGATCAGCTTCCTACATAAAGTTTTGTAGTTGATAAATAAAACATTCCCAAATCAATTTCAGAATTTCGCTAAAAAACATTCCCAATACAAAAAAATAGGAATCATTTTCAGAGGCATTTAGATTGTATTGTTAAAGATATTAATCCTTGTTAAATCTGATAAAACTGCTAATTTTTATGAATTTAACCCTAAAGACTATAATGATTTAATTAAAAAAAATTAGCTAAAAATTATAAGATGAATATTAACACTAATAATTTAATTGATAAAATTAACACTGCCTGTAAAAATATAACTGATAAACTTAAAATTAACAATAGGGTTAGTAAGTTCTGTACCAGAGAATCGTACGTCCTAATAAAAGATCATAAACCAGACTGAGATCAAACTACCTATGAAGATTATCAACCCTACCAGACCAGAAATTGGAAGGATCAGCAAAGTTATCTTGGATAGAGTCAACAAACAAATTTCTCTTTTACTTCTTAGGAAGGTTGAATGCCAGACTTCTATACATTTTACGAAATAATGTAACCATTTGTATCTGTCCATAATGAAATTGTCTAGGATTAATGCTGACAACTTTGTGTCATGACCTATATAAAAAAATTTTCAGTGAGTTCGAATTTAGCATAAGTCATATTCAATTGGTTAATTATGGTAAAGCCCACAAGCCATCTTTTATTTCTTTTTTATTTTTATCGAAAAAAAGAGGAAGTATTCTGCTTTTGAAATTAAATTAACCCTAGAACACTAACTATGGGTATAATATACCCAGTGCAAATTTTCCTATTTTTAATTACAGTTTTCAGTACCTGATTTTCTTACCTAAATAATGTTTTTCAGTTCCTATTAATGTAAACTTAAAGTACAAAGTTTGAAGTGCCTGCATGTAAAATATTTCAAATAAAGATTTATATTTATATTTTTTTTTGATATTTTGAAAATCGGGTATGATATACCAATGGTTAGTAGTGGTATAACTTTAATTGATGGTTGGTGTTCTAGGGTTAAGCGTTCACTAATCAGTAGTTTACCATCGCCCGAGGAGACACATTTGTAGTGTTGAAACATAATGGAAATTATGTAGCAATTTTTAATGTTTTTGTTTTAATATCCTAAAATAAATATATATACATATATATATATAAAGTTCACACACTAATATTCCATGGTTATCTCTCTCTCTCTCTATATATATATATATATATATATTCAAACAACAATAAAATACAGATATAAACCTAAAGTTCCATAATCAATACCCTAATACTTAAGATTCCACCAAGTCAGGTAAAAAACAAACTATTAACTACTAAATAAAAAAAAATAATGGGTAAGTGAAGACATATAAACAAATATATACTTGGCCATTTTAATTAAAAAGACAATTATTTAAACAAGAAATAAATAAAAACAGAATACATCTATATTTCCCAAACTTAAGAAAACTTCAGAATATTCCAGGAAAGAAATTTCCCTAACAACCCCCAAAGTCCTGTCTGTATTACCAGAAATGACACTGTTACATTAGCTTTGAAACTAAAGAGAGAAAAAAGAAAGAAAAGGAATAGGGAGAGAGTAGGAGGAGACAAGAAAATGATGAAAAGGAGAAATAACCACAACATTCTACACATGTGTGCACACACACACAAATAAAAACCATCAATCTAACATGAATAAATTATTTTCTAACTCAATATAAAAATAATGAAAATGAGAAAATCAGTAGTCAATTGCTGAAACTGCCTGACAAATGATTACAAAAACATTCAATTAAAAAACTATGGAGTTGAGGTGCTGAATATAATATCAATCAGTTAAGTCACAAATTTTATATTTGTATTAATCCTATTAGTCCTGATTTGGCAATTCAGCTTCAGTCTCACTTTTTCACCACCATAATGTAGCTTCCTGTGACATTTGGATAAACTCTTCTCTATGGTATCTAGATGTTAAGTGCAGTACTAGATTGGTGGCAAGGTCTCATCAATTCACAGTTGAATTGGCTGCTAGATGTAACTATAATTTATATGCTAACAGTTTCTTTTCTTGAACTTCTTACTTTCTAGCCAAATTTAATCTTCAAAAATTTAAATGCAATGTCAATCATTATCTACTCTTCTTTTGATTACTCTTCTATCATTCTCATTCTTTAATAATGTTTCTCTTTTTTTCTTATTCTTTCATACTCAGTGAATGCCTTGTGTGTTAGTGGCTCTACTGCCTCCTTGCATGCAGTGAGATGATTAAAAAAAAAAAAAGGAAATATATATATATTTTATAGATAAGGATACACATTTCATTTTATAAATGTGAATACCAACATCTTATGGCATGCTAAAAATTTCACCTGTTCTTCAAGATCGATACACAATGGCACACAAACTGCCTTTTGTAAATATCTTATTTATCAAAGAATTTATCTTTGAAAAATATTAGAAATTTTCATTAATTAATAAATATTTTAGGTTAACTCACCTGTTTTGCAGGAGTAAGTTCACTGGAAAAAAAATAAAAACATTTGTTACATAAAAAAAAACCTTCAGAGAATATTATCATAGCTGTTCTCTTTTATTGTCATGTTATACAATTACAAAAAGTAAATTCTTGTCTCTAAATTTAAATTTATCTAAATAATATAAATGTTGTCACATTGTTAAAATAAAACCTTTTAAATGCCTGCAAGAAATATTTAATTTGTAAAATCTTTTTTCTTTTTTAATTATATATGAATATATTGTTTTTCAAAATTTTCTCTTCATAAGTCTTTCCAAGTCTACTGCAAGTCTTTCCCAAATACTTCCATAACATCTCAGGTATGGCATCATAAAATAAAATGTTGGAGGGATCAGATATTAAAATTGGTGATAGGAGCAAAGATTTTTTAAAAGATTCTTGATATTTTTTTTCACCTGAGCCTCTCATAAAATGAATACAATTTAGATCTATTATGCCACTGCAAACAGTTTTGATTTTAAATACACATTTTTTGTTGTTTGTTTTTGCTTATTTTCTGGAATAAAACCTATAGATATTTTCTGCATATAAAACTTATATAGAAGTTTTAGAAGCTACTCTTTTGAAAAAAATATAAAATAAGGTGGTTTTATTATTTTGAAAATGAATGGCATTAATCAAATGATACATCTCAGCTCAATAATACTGTCATAGATAGAGACCATGAAGACAAGTTTAGTCTTCAACAACTACAAAAATTGTGTGTGGAGGGTATGAAACGCCACCTCTAGCCCTCCCTATAGTGCTGTAGATGCTCTTATGCTATTTTCTTCTATATCTTACCCACAAATCATTCTATCTCATCTTTCTATCTTCTTTTTGCCCTTTTCCTGCTATATGTCATAACCAATGGACACCAATCAAGCAACCTTTTCCTCTATCTGTTATTCCTTCCTTGCTATATGTCCCATCACTTCTAGCCCTTATCTCGGTCTTTTTTTTTTTTTTAATCATTTCACCCCAAGCAAGAGGGAATGCTACGAGTACATAAGGGGTTACAGAGAGTGAAAGTGAGAGAAAAGACTGGGTATTGGGGAGGGGGGGGGTTGAGGAAAGGATAAAAGATGAACAGGGTTCAAGTCAACAGAAAATGGTGGTTGATGCTGCATTTAAATTTTTGAAGATTGTAGTTATCAGGGAAGCAGGTAAGAGGAAGGGAGTTCCACTGTTGGGAAGTGCGAGAAACAAAACTGTTGGAGTAGAAGTGGTGGTTACATTTAACTATTTTGACAGTATAAGAGTGGGACCTAGATGCCAATCTAGTAGCCCGCTTAAATTTATGTAGTTGAGGCACCAGATTAAAAAAAGCTTGTCAGAGCAGTTGTCATGAAAATATTTGTAGAAAAGACAGAGAGAAGCCACGCCACATCGGTGAGAAAGTGACTGAAGTTGAGAAGCCAATTCAGGATTAATTACATTCCAGATCCTTCTTTGGATTTTGTCAAGAACCTAGGGATGAACAGCAGGGTCACCAGATCAGATATGGCAACAATATTCAATGCACGGATGAATGGTAGATTTGTAAATGTGCAAGGTGGAATCTGATGAGAAAAATCTTCTGGTATGACACAATAAACTAATTTTCCTTGTAGCAGATGCAGCTATTGATTTAATGTAGTTGTTCCACTTCAAGTCACTCTATTCTCTGATCCATGTTGATCTCTCTTTTTTATCTCTTTAGTTATTCTTCACATTGTTCTTTTCACTAATCTTTGTGCATTTTCTATTTTTTTCAAATAGTTTCTGTTAATTTTCATACTTTACACTCATATGCCATAACTAGTATTGTACATTCATTATACACTTTAATCATATTGGTAAAGTGCTTTTCATTTTATTTTTCTATTTGATCATTATAGATCTTTTATTTAATTTCTTTGGTCTTCCTTTAATGTTATCACTTCTAAGTATTTTAGAATTATTTCCAGTTCTTCATCTATATTTATAAAACATTTTTCAAAATTCTTTTATTTTTGTTCCTTGAAATTTTTCCTATTTCACTAATTTAGTATTTCATGTAATTCAACCAATGATTGTGATAATCATAAAATACGATCAACAAATCGAAAATGGTTTAACTATTCTCCATTTATGTTTACTTTTATATCATCCCAGTTCATATCTTCCAAAAGTTACTTTCAAGGCCTGATGATTATAGTTTTAGGCAAACTCATATCCCCCTCCTTATGAATCTCTAAAGAGTTCAAATATTTCAAGAGATTAAATATTGAACTGAAGTTATCAGAAGCATAAAGTATGAAAAGAATGTCTATGTGCAATTTAATAATTCCTGACAATTAATGGAAGTTTTAAGAGGAAATCTCTTCATTATTTCATATATAAAATTTTGAATAAGTTGAAATAAAAAATTTCATACTTTTGTTCACTCACTTTTCTTGAAGTATATTTACTCAAATTAATACATTCATTTTACTCAAATTAATACATTTTCATTTTTAAAATAAAGACCATGATAGTGAAATTAGAAATTAAAAACCAGAATTTTTTCTAATCACTTTAAAATGGGGTTAACCATGTAGATTTAATATGAAAGGCTTTGAAGTCTGATCTAGATAATTTGGATTTTACAAGTAGGCCAGAAATGTTGTGAAGTTATCTGGTTTTTACAAATAAAATCCTTTATTTGGAACTAAGGTTTGAAAGAAAAGGAGAAAAATTACAAATTAAATTCAGAATTGTTTACATAAAACAAAAAAGTCAGCTTGTTGGTGGATGTTAGAGATAATAATTGACTTAACTGTCCTGCAGATTATGGATAAAAAAGCCCTTTATTCAAGAGATTAATGTGTTTACTGAAATCCCTGACCTGAAGGAAAATATATTGTTTGGAAAGGGCTAAAGAAAGAACCTGCTAAGGATGTAAAGATACAAGTGTTTTATTTAATATAGATAATGTTGATACTAGAAAATTATATTTTTCACCAGAGACTTCAATAGTCTTATGGTGAATTATTTGCTGATGTACCAAGCATGGCCTTATCCTGATGGTGATAGGAAGAGTGACCAAAACCAATGAAATGCTGGAACTGGATAGAGGACTGCTCAAACCAAATTTGGAATTCTTCAATATAAGCCATTTAATTTTTATCTTTAGGCAAATGTCGACAAGAAACACGAGGAACCATGACCAATAGACTTCTTCCTCAGCCAACCTTGTGAGACAAACTTATCAACAAAATGGTTCAAGAAGAGAAGTTTTTTTTCAACATTAGAGTTTCCACTTGCAGAACAATCAAGTTGAGGAAGATTGAAGTTCAACTTTGGTTGCAGGTCTGACACCAAACTTCCCTGTCTGTACTAAGTCAGTTACTGATTCAATGAACCAGTGAGGGTTGACCACATAAAAACTGACTAACTGGCCATAGTTAGGAAAATCACAGTGCCACTAAAAGGAGAAAGATTAATGTTGAAACTTGTCCAAACTGTATTGTATTTTATGAACAGGACTTTTTGTCTAATTTGCAAAAAACTTTCTTTTTCTTGTGACCAAATGTATAACTTGATGGAAATTTCAACCAACTTTACACAAAGATCTCCAAAGATTGGGAGTGCTGACTGATAGATAGATAACAAGCCAAGGGGCAAGGGAAAATTATCATAAATGGTTTCCTTGATCAAATTAAGATTCTGTACTGTTAACATATACAAGAAAAAAAATGTAAAGTCCTATTTGATTAGTTAGAAATTTGTCTAAAGTAAATTTTATAATTAAAAAAAAAAAAAAAAAATAGCTTTAAAAATGAAGAAATTATTCCACTTAATATGAAATTTATTCATTGGGTGCTTAAATGGATAAATGGTTTTGATTTGATTTTCAAGATTGCTCTATTGTATGGATTGGATTGGATTCATCATAAGAAATGCAAGGCGAATAATTTGAATTGCACTATTTCTTTGTAATCTATTCTCATAACAAACAAATATGTATCATAGCAACATACTTTCAGACAACATGTTTGGTTACAATGGATGAAGAAGATTATAACCATTTACTTACTTGAATGGACGGAAAGTCACAGAAAGACTCATGTTCTGTACCTCATACATTTTGACCTTGAAAGGTAAAATAATTTATTTTACAACAGTTACAAAAAATAAAAGCTATTAGTATGTAATAAAATATACATAATATTTTATGGCCTGATTTTACACTGCAGAACTATCAAATATGTAGCAAAATGAAGATCAAAGGAATGAATAATTAGGGATAAAATAAAATATATAATTATGGATTGTCTAAACAGCATTTGTTTATTGAAGTAAAATGCAGATAAGTAAATTGTGTTCCTTTACAACTAACTGGTAGAAGGGGAAAAATAGATACAATTGTGACTCAACAGAGAACACACATAAAATGGGCATGTTCAAATGACAGTTTGTAAACATATGAAACATGGCTATAATTAGAGTAAAGAAAGAATGCCAATTGTTTATCCACAAAGATTAAACAATTACTAAGTATTTATTGTGGCTGATTAGACACAAAAAATAACAGTAAATGAATGGATATAATAAATATGTATAGAAGTATAGAAGGTTATGAAACATTTTTGATTAAATAAAAATCTGAAGTTTATTTTACCCATTTAGTGACTCATTTATTTATAGGGTTAGCAACAGAGAAGTTTGTGTGTGTTTGTAAATATACAAGGTAGTTAGCAACAGTCACTTTCAGTAATGTTAGTTTTGTTGCAAGTCCCATAATCCATTAGAGCCATTATCTCTCTTCAGGTTGGTTTTTGAATTCAGAGTTTACCTTCTCTAGTTGTCTCTTCAAGGCAAAAGAGCCAGTCAGCCCTGTTACTTAACCCATAGTAGGGGTGAATGAGATATGCAGGGGTATTTGTGTGAAAGTGAATGGAACAAATGGCCAGAATTTGAACTCATCACATCAATTTCTCTTTCCAAGTCATTAACCATTGCACCACCCACACACCCAAAATATCAGTGGCAGTGAATAAAAAGGTTTCTTATGATACAGCCCTGAAAATGTATCTCTGCTCAAGACAAATTTTCTCTCTTTTTCACTTTATAATATTCCTAATAATCAGAAATAAATTAGGAACAGATTTAACATTTGTGACAAAGTGGCCTGGCAAAAAAATGTTAAACATGAAAAAAAAAAATAAGCTGGAAGCGATCTAAAAGAATTAAAGGATAGAACAATAGATATAACAAGAAAAGCAGCAAAAATGTTTATTCTAAAAAAAAAAAAAAAAGAGAAGAAAAAAAAAAGGCTGCCTATTTTTCTAAAAAGCAAAGACAACTAAGAGCAGCAAAAATGTTTCTATTTTATTCTAAAAGAAACAGCCTATTTTTTTTCTTCCTAGAAGCAAGGACAGACGATAAAAAAAGTGAAGGATAATATTTCTTCTTATAAGAGCCATTTGGATAAATTTCCACTTTGGTCAAAGTTGAAAAGTATACGGAATTATTTGGGATTTCTTAAGATAGAAGCCCAAAGATAACTTAAGGATTTAATTAATGACCAGTCAAGGAGAGATGGTGATGGTATTTTGGATAGTCCTGGAGAAATATACTAGGGCCATAAAAGCAAGATGCTTGGGGCCATTTTGAACAATTGAACAGTAGTTGCAGTTAGAGCTGAGTTGGGACCTAGATTGCAGCAAGACTGGAGAACAAGTGCTAACAATTGCTTCACTGCTGAAAATTACAAGACTTGAGAACAAGTGCCAACAAGTATTTTACTACCAAAACTTACCTAACTTACAGATTGATTGTTTCCAGCAAAGTAAAAGCCAGCAAGCCATTAATAGATTCATGTGGGAAGAGCTGAACTATTTATATTCTAAATTTATATAAAATTGTTAAATAAAACCAGTGAATTCCCGTCATCATTCCTGTCTACAGGAATAATTATTTTCATTTGTGTGAACAGCACCGTAGTGGTTCAATACATCTAGTTCCTGTGATTTTTGATCTCAGGGCAAAGTAGATTGAATCTCTATCACCCTGAGATCAAAAATCATGTGACAGGGAGGTTGTAGATTGAACAACCAGTGACTGCTGACCAGGTTTTGGACTAGAGCACTAGGGTAGCAGGTTATACATTGTTGGCATTAATTTCATTGTTTCTCCAGAATGCACACTGAACTAACAGTTGAAAGTAGAAATAAAGCAGAAAGTAAACATTATATGACAGAAGTAAGTACATTTCATGAAAACTTGTTGAATTTAATTTCATTTTGCAAATAAATTAGAAGTTGAGTAGAAAACAAAAAAAAAAATTCAAATTTTGGAAAGACACCTTTAATAATATCCACCCATAAGGAAAATTGAATGAAAATCCAAGCAAAATGTTTGTCTTCAGACAAAAACAGAACCAATTCTAAAAGTTTTATGGAGAAAGTCAATCACAGACAAAAGTTACTAAGAAAATCTTATATTATTTTTAACTTACCATATATTGAGCTAGCATTTGTTTCACATTGGTAAATAAATTCTCTGCCTTAAAAGCCAAATCCCCATTCAAGTAATCAATCGGTAGATTACCCTGCAGGTAAGAAAACAGTATACAATATATACCTATTATAATTCTAAATACAAGCATGCAGATATTTATTTTTATATTAATTGCATCAGTTTTAATTTTCAAAGAGTGAAATTGTCCAGTAGGCAGTGCAACCAGGAATAATCATGTCTAAAAAAAAAAAAAAAAAAAAAAAAAAAATAATTTCATATTACTATAAAATCTATAGTAATCTACATAATAAATGTGAATGTCAGTGTGTCATTGTGCCACACATTTTCAACTTTACTTCTCGAGGCTGTAGCCTAACATATACCATTTTGGAATCAAGCTACTCCATGAGCAAATTAAAAACATTACAGGCCGGATCCAAAACCACAATCCTGAAATTTTGGATTCCCAAGTTTTCATTACTGTGATTGTTTTTGGATTCCACCATTTTGGCTTCTACTGATAAAAACAATTAAAGGGATACAACTCTCTAACTTTTAATAGTTCATGTTCAAATGAAAAAAATTAGTTCTCAAATTACAGTTTTCAATTGTCCTTGTTTTAGCATAACATATCACACCATTTTGGAATCAGGCCAACTGTGAGCAAATTAAAAACATTCCAGGCCAGCAATCCTGAAATTTTGGATCCCCAAGTTTTCATTACTGCAATTATTTTTGACAATTTTTTTTACGTGAATTTTTTGTGATTAATTTTTTTTGTACAATAATTTTTATAACTTGGAAATAAATTTGGAAATAATCAAAATTAATTGCAAAATCCAGCACCATGAAATAAAAATAATTGTTTGTATAGAAAGTAAGGACCTATGTATATCAAACTGTTTTTAATTAAGTGATGGCAGAAGAATTATCATTGAACTTTTAAAAGGTAAGCTTAAATATTGATGTAATACTTAAATGCAGTGATCAATTTTGAGTTCTTCTGTAGTTTATTGTTGCCTATCGCATCTACTCCTCCTTAAGTATTGTGATGAAGGCCCAATCAAGAGCTCTCCACAGGAGCAAGCTTAAATGCCACCCAATTTTTAGGGTAGCTTTTAAGCTAGTATGAAATAATTTTATTTTTAAATATGTTGACATTTCTTCAACCTGCTGTGTGACTGTCCTCAAAGATAGTTTCAAATAAAGACTTTTTTTTCTGGACAAACAATATCCAATACTACCAGTAAGCATTCTTTAAGCAAAAAAAAAAAATTTAAAAAAAATCACCATCTGTAAAAGGTTTAATCTTTTCAGCAATGCATTTTGAGACTCCATAGTCGGCATTTGTATTTGCAACATTTTTGCCTTTTCTCTTTAAAAAATGATGTTTATTTTTCAAAACTAACCTTCAACCACTCAACTTCATCTTTTCTTGCTTGTCCAGTAAATTTCCTAAAATTTTCACAATAGTGTATCTTGTAATGTAATATTTGCTACCTTATTCACAGCAATGCTTTCTAGACGTATGAGACAAACTAGGTTCATACTGTGTATGATGAAGAAGTAATCTAATGTCCAAGTATCTTGGAAAAGTTAGCATTCAGCATCTACCTTTCTTTGTTTTGTATTCATCATCAGCAAATTTTTTTCCTACAAATAAAATTTAAATTAAAAATAAAACTATTACATTTTTGTACAATAATACGGTGCTGAATTGCAAGAATACAGAACCAAATTATACAAATACACAGAGGTTAATTTTATAAATGTTTAAACATATTAATCAATGTTAAAAAGGAATAATCGGATTCTTTAATTTTATATCTGAATAATTCTCTTTTTTAATGACAAGCCTTTTATTGTATTTGAAAGCCTCATCTCTCATATTACAATTGTTATAATAACAGCTGCTTATGGTTAATAACATGGCTATAACTTGTAGATATTATTATTATTATTGTTGTTGCTGCTATTATTTTTGAGTTGTGTGAGCAGAAATGATATGTGGAGCCCTGCATACACAATGCATTTTTAATTGTGTTTTTGCTGTCATAGTTTTCACATGCAATTGGTGGTGGAAATTAGGTCAAGTGAATCAGAAAATGATTTGTGGAAGAATGTAACAGAAGGCTTTTTATTGTATTCAAAAACCTCATCTTTCATATTACAATAAATTTAAATTTTAAACACCAAGGTCGAACAAAAATATTCATACTGAAATTTGTACACCTCAGCTGGCTGGAAAATCACAATTTTCTATGTTCACTTGCAGGCACTGATATGCAAGACTCGACTCAGTTCAAGTCAAGTCCAATTTTAAAATAAAAAATGATGTAAGTCATGACTTGACTCAAGTTGACACATGAGCCAATTACTACAAAATTTATTTACAATATTTTAAGAATAGAAAGATAAAAACAATATTCATTGTAAAGCAACCATATGATCAAATAATTTTGAATTAAACTTAAAATTGTTTCTTCCTTTGTTCTCTTTGGTTTTATGTTATTCCTACACAGACTGAAGCACAAAATAGCCTGACTGTGTTTTCAGTCAAGCTACTACTGATCAGGAGGTGGAAGTTAGAACTGGACTTTTTGGACTGGACTTGGACTGAATTTTCAAGTAAATTTTTATGTCAGACTGGACGGGTCTGGTTCAACAGAGTCCAACTTCAACCTCTGGTCATGACTCATCTCAACTCGTAAGTCTAATGAGTTGAGTCAACTCATTGGGTGTCTGTTCTCACGGGCTGATCAAAATCTGTAGGTTGCCAATTCCTGCTATAGATTAAGTACTACAGATCATTATATATCTCAATAACAAAAATAGTTTGAAGCCAGAAATGCTGTCAGTGGAAGACTGAAAGAAAAGACATTTCTCTTCTTCATGTAAATATTTGTGGGCTGCAAATTCTGAGTGCTCTTGAGTAGAATTCAATGGTCATTCCGGATTTTATTTTGTTGTTATGATGGGAATAGAAGTTTATTAGACCATTTTTATTGGTTGATTTTTGGTGGACACTAAGTTTTAGGCTGCTGCCAAGTTGGTGTAACATGATGTCTAAGAAAGATAAAGTATTGTTTCCTTCTTTTTCGTATGTAAATTCTATTGTATGTTTGACTTTGTTTAGATGAAGTAAGTCAGTACCACAGGGATATATTAATAGAGCATCATATACTTATTATAAAAGCCAGGTTGTGTGTGTTTGTGCGTGTCTGTATGTTTATATATTGGATCAGATTTACTACCTTTTTCAACAATACTTCACAGGACTACGTAAAATTACCTTGCAGTGGTTCTGACAGCACCAAAAATTGGAAAAACACAATTGTTTTTGCACGAAATCAATTTGAAAACATGATTAAGAGGCATTGCGAGAATGAAAGGGGAACAACTCATATCAAGTTATACTTAAAACCCAGGTTGTGTGTGCGTGTGTGCTCATTTATATATGGGATTGGATTTCCTACATTTTTCAACCAATTTCAACAAAACTTCACTTTTTTTTTGGCAGGTAGTGTTTCTTATTGTGTCTTGCACACTTTTTTCTTTATTTTTACATTCAGAATGCTTTAAAAATTCCATTTACAAGACAATTGTTTATAATAAAATTCTATTCAATCGGTAGACTCATAACGATTGAAAACAATGTTTTTGTTTGAGTTTGACCAATTCGTAAAAAAAACAAAAAAAAACTAATTAAGACATGCGTGTCTGTCAAACCTAAACCATAATCTTTGTTAATTTTATTTTTCAGTCTTAATGATGGTCGATACTTGATCTATCTCTTTCTGTTACATTCCCGGGCAACGTCGGGCTCTACTGCCAGTCATCAATATATCGGGAGTAAATTGATTATTTAGGTAAAATATTTGGGAAAGAATCAGATTCAAGAAATTCTAAAAAGATACATGCCATCATTCCACTGAGAGGCAATCCCATTGGTAATCCAAATTTTTGTTAGTAAAAATTGTTATTAAATGTGAAATAGCATTGACTGGTGATGAAATGGCAGATTTTTATTATTTTAGTTATTGGTAGGGAGAGGTTTAACTTTGATTGTGTTAGATGCTTTTTTTAAGAGATTTATTCATTCTTCAACCAGGACATTAATGTAAACGGATTTTATATCTAGACTGACCATGAGTTTGTCAGTCATATTTGTTTCCCTTAGTTTTTCAACAAGGTTGCCTGAATTTTTTTATTTAATGGACTTATTCTTCCAAGGAGAGGGGTTAAAATTTTTGTTATGACCATCTAGTTTGTGGGGGCAGGCATTGCCTATTCCTGAAATGATGGGGTGCATAGGGATACCAGCTTTGTGGATCTTAGGGAGACCATAAAGTGTGGATGAGCCTATACCATGATTTGTTTTAATTTATAATTCGTTTCCTGATTTCTTTGTTGAATTTTTGTGTTTTAGGAGTTATTTTTTGTTTATTTTTTCATATGTGTCAGTAAAATAACAAAAAAAAAAAAAAAAAAAAAAAAATTCTTTCAAAAATTTTGAAACTACCAGTATCTCTCATGTGCTCATGGGTTTATTGACTTTATTATGACTACACAGTCATAATAAAGTCAATAAACCCAGTCCGATGAAGTCCTGACCTAACTAAAAAAAAAAAATTCCAATGTTTGATCAAATTTTAGAGAGTGGATCAAAATTGCACTGTTTAAATTTTTTGAAGAATTTCAATAAAATAGTATATTTTAAAATACAGGAATCCCCTGATTAGTATGGCTAATGTGTACATCGGTAACTCTAAAAAAAAAAAAAAAATCAATTTTTAATTATGGTTAAACTGAAGAATATTGTACTGCACTAATCAAGTATTATGTATGCACTAATCAAATTTTGCTATATAAAAATGTTAGTGCATTAATTAGAAATGCATTAATTGAGGGATTACTGTACAACCAAAACAGATATAATGCAAAATAACAATGTAAAATAATTTCAAAACACACAGAAAAAACGTTTTCTTGGTCAAAATTTTCTTTTCTCCTAACAAGCAGCTTGATTTAAAAAAGAAAAAAAAAGATTCATTAAATTTGTGTTTAATTTTATTATAAAAAATAATTTTTACTGCTAAAGGGAAAAATTAATCACACAAAAATGTTCATTTTTAAAACTCTTAAATTAGAATTATTTCTACAAGGATCAAATTTGATTTTTTTTCTATTGATTACCAATATTTGTCTGCTATATGTTTCTGTAAGTAGCCTTCTAAAACAAGGGTTTCAAATTAAATAAATTTAAATTATTTTTATTGATACCAAGATGAAACATGTCAGTAACTAATATTTAATGTCTTCATATTTATTTGATTCCAGTTTCTTATGTGTTTCCTTATCATGAGACTATTCTAATTGGTTCATACTAGAAAGGCACAAACTACTAAATAAACCCATCCTATTAACCACTGAACGTTTATGAGACATTTACATTTATTTAACTATTACTATGATATTAAACTTTTTAGTTAATTTTTAAATGAATTAAGAATGAAAGTATTGTACTTACAACTGAATTCATTGGAAATGGAATGCCAATGAGAGAAGACATCAGAGGAGCAATGTCAGCCTAGAGAGAGAGAGAGAGAGAAAGACTACTTATTGAAATGTCTATTTGAACAAATATTGTTTTGAAACTAACAACTTTTATCAGGATCATCATTATGTCTGTTGGTAAAGTGTTTGAGGAGACATTCACTCTCACATGCAATCAGATATGAATAACTTATGACTTACTAAAAATATAGTGACTGCTCTCATCCAGAAAGCCAAATACAAATGACTTCAGGAGAATGATTATAAATATGCTGAAAAGTTCTAGGCCCAATGCCCTTCCCTGTACTCTCTCATCATGTATAATAAAGAAATAACTAAAAAATTTTAAAGATATAGGATCTGAAATCGATATAAAGATAACATTTAAAATTGTAGAATTACGGACAACTCTTCAGATGAAATAACATTTAATGAAGTAAAAAAAAAAAAAAAAAAGAAAAGAAAAAGCATTAAATAATAGTAGATACAAAATGAAATTTGAATATATACCAAAACCAGAAAGAAAAAATAGAAAAATAGTATGGTTTAACCCACTATAATATTTCATATTTGAATTTATTAACTTAACTCTGACACATGTGTTAATATAACTTGTTTATTCCACCAGTTTTGCTTCTACTGATAATGCAATAATACAATTAAAGGGACACAACTCTCTAACTTTCAATATCTCCAGTTATAACCCACCATACAATAAGAATGTTGATACAAATATAGGAAAAATATTTTTATAATCTTAGAGACAAACATTTTCATAAATCACACAAAAATGAACAAAATATTTAATAGAAACATCATAAAATTATTTAGTTGCATGGATAACACTGAACAGATGATAAAAAATAGATAATATTACTAAATAACAACTATACAAAAACCTAAACAAATGTAATTGTAGAACCAAAATGTTCATTGCAGGGAAATTGCAGATGAAAATATAGGGGATAATGATAAATAAAAATTGCAGTGGAGGAGTGGATTTGCATTGGAGTAACAGGGAAAAAAATGTAAAGAAAGATATGCAAACCATTTGCTATCATTCAAATATGAAAGATATAGAAATAATACCATATTGCCAAAAAAAAAAAAAAAAAAAACATATGGGAAGTAAAAATGAAAGGGAAAATGCCAATAGGATGTAATAAAAAAAAAGATAAATAAAATCAGAGGAAGAAATTACATAGAAACAGAAAATCATAGGATTCAAAAACATGAAATGAATTAATAAGTAAAAGGAATTTTAAACTGTTGGCATGCTGACATTCATTTTGAAAAATGTGTAAAAGAATTATGGTGCTTGGGAGTGTCCAAGAGAAACAAATGCCGATTTTCAAATTTACACTGTGTGAAATAGTGACAAAAAATGTTATATATATATGTATATATAATTATTTTTTTAAAAAATATTCCATCGTGACACAGAAATTACTATGTTTCGAAACTGGTCAGCAGTATCTAAGTTTAATTCCAATAGTAAACCTTAACCACTGGGTGGCAGTTTCCTCAAGCATTGTTTTGGAATAACTATGTTATAGAATGTTTTACTCATTTATAATTTTGAATGGAGGTGTGGTCTGGGTTTTGTTTTTTCTTTATCAAGGGGTCAACTGCTTTGATAGAAGTAGGGGTGTTTGTGAGATGTCAGGTTTTTGGAGTTGTGTAAGGTTGGGTTGGGGTTTTTTGTCTGGCTACAATGGCAAATGTTATCAGACTCCCTGCTAAAACTAACTGATTGATGTAATAGTTCTGTTTTTCTTTTTTATTACTGTATGCTAAGACTAACATTATTGAGGTTGTAGTTCTGGTAGTCTTTGGTGTTTATTTATTTGTTCTTTGTTGACGACTCCTTAAAGGGGCTTTAAGCGTATGATTAGGTTGTGTTCTTAAACCTATTGCTTTAATTGAACTTATTTATAGATTTTGAAATTTTTAATTTTTTTTTTTAAAGCTAATTATTTAAGGCAAATAATTGTTGGTCTCAGCAAAAAACCGTTATCTCATGTCTTTGATTTAATAAATTTTCATTTTTTAGAAACTTAATGTGTAGTTTTTCGTGTAGGCATAAAGGGCATGGGTCATCCCAGGTTTTACAAGTTCTTGTTCTATTTATTATTTTCCATTTTAATTTTGGTGTCTTATTGGTTTCTTTTAAATGCCAGAAAAATTTAGATAGGGAAGACTGGTTTCTATTTCTAATATTGTTGAAGGAGCTTTTGTGTTGTCTCCACCTTATTTTAAATTCATTCTTTGTGGATCCTATATATATCTTTTCAATGTTCGATGGATGAGATTGTGCATTGGTATACCACAGATTCTATGTGGCATTTATTATCCAAAGGGCAATTTTCAGGGTTTCTACAATCACATAAATTTTCATTATTTTTGTCTAATTTTAATTTAGGGTCTTTATGTATTTGATTTTGGCATGTGCGTTTTTTCAGGATTTTATTATTGTTTTTTTATGAGTCTTTCTAGATTTTCAATGCAGCTGTAACTTAATTTTAGAGTGTTTTTATTAAAGATCTTGCTAAGTTTGCTGTTAGTGGGAAAATGTTTTTCAATTAAAAGCTAACCATTCTGTTGAACATGGGGGGGGTTTACCAAATAATTTTTCTTTTTCTGTTTTTCTTCTGGTTTGTACTATTGTTTTTTTTTATATAATTGATGTTAGTGTGTGTGTGTGTGTGTGTGTGTGTGTGTATCCACTATTTTTCACAGCTTTGTTGTAAAAATTACTGTTTCTGGAATATTTCTTCATTTGCAGAGTTCATGCTGATTCTTTTCTCTATTGATGAGGGTATGTACTTAATTGTGTATGGAGGAGGGTTTGAACCGGGGTTGTACATACAAGGGGTTAGTGTTAGGTTTTCTGTAAGGTAGGTATATGTTATTCATTAAGTCTAAAGTTATGTCAAGAAAGCTTACCCCCTTTTCAATTTTGTGTTAACTGTAGTTTTTAAATTTAGTTTTCTGAATTCACTATAAAGTTTTAAAGTTAAAACAATGACTAAACAAATTCCTCATCCACACACAAAAGTATGGCCTGATAATCAATATTTAGTACATTTTCATTCTCTATTCCAAATCCTCAATCTGAATAGATTTCTCTTGGTAGAGTAATCTTCAGTCTAATAATTCTTCTAAAAGAATAAAATAAATTAATATCTACAGTAAAGACATATAGAAATGGTAGGTAAAACAACACAGCAACGAAATGAAAGGTTAATCACTCAGCTCAGGCACATCACAGGTCAACATCCACAGAATTAATACAAAAAGATACAAAATATACTATGTTGTCTATTAGAATATTGACCTCCAAAGGTTGTCATATTGTTATTCATCCATTAACTGCATTTAGTTTAATTTGAGATGATATGATTTTATGTTAAAAATATCAAGCAAAAAACAATTCCTTTATTATCCATATTGACTACAACACACTAAATATTTGAATATTTCTTTTACCAGCTTGATGCATTATTGTACTGACCTGTTCAACATCTGTCCTCTGCAGGTGGTTAAGATGCCATTCTGAAAGATTATAAAATCTAAATCTAAATAGGTTGCTATATCTGATTTTGTGAAACAAAAACTATGTATTTAATATTTTTATTAAAATTTCCTGTACTGGTTTAAATAAACAAAATTGAATTCAATTTATATTTTTTCCTTTATATGGTTTTCTTCTTATCTGGAGAAATCTAAATTATAACAGAATTAGGTTTTATACCTTTTTATATATTCATAAGCAACAAATCCATAAGAGAAATTTTATTCAATTGAAAAGGCACAAATAACATTGTCAGTAACATTACTTAATAATTAATTTTCATTTTTATTTGCAAAGTTTCACTTAAATTATTAATTTTAACTTTCATTAATTACAGTTAGTATACATTGCTCTTTACAATATCACAATCCAATTATTATGTCATTGTATTTGATGTTTGATTATTAGCTCTGACTTTTAGAAGTTATAGAACTTTTAAAAATCTGATAAAATATTTTGGGATATTTTGGTAATGCAGAAATAAGACAGAATATTTGCAAGCAATTACACCATTTCAGATTTTATTACACAAGCTAATGTTTTCACAATGAAATTGGTGTTAACCAACCACTGTTGGAAACATTTTCACACTAATATTTATATGAGCAAATATATTAGTTGAGTTTCACATTATTAACAATACTGATAATAACTGCTTTTGGAAATGTGCAACATAAATCATTATTAATAAATAAGTAAAAGAAATATATATACAGAAATATATATTTGATTAACCCACCTAAATATAAATATATACCTAAATAAATTATTTCATTATTTCCCATTTTAATATAGTCTCCTTGGCATTTTATAACCTTCAGTCTTCCACCTATTTTCTTAACTTTTTCTAATGTTTCAACTTTAACATTATTTGCAGCAATTTTTATTGTTTTCCCAGAAAGTTTCTTTGCTTAGCTGCTGTTTTTCTATTCTCATATATTCTATTAATGATAGACCCTAAGTTTTCTATTGGATAAGCATTTGAGGAGGCAATGTAGCCATCCGATATCATTGAAACTATTTTTTGGCAAGATGTGCAATAGTCAGCTTTGCAGAATGTAAAAGAGCATTGTCTTGCATGAATATACTCTTTAGCTTAAAGCTTCTTGGTCATGACTTGCATTGCACAAAAATATCTTGTTCAAGAACTTAAACATTGTCTGCATTTATCTTGATACCATCATCAACTTTGAAGGGACCTATAATTTTGCTGCCTACAATACAAGCCCCAAATATTATTCAACTTTCCTTCTAAGGATCCAACCTCTAAACAACCATTATGTTATTCTGATATAGCTTTACATTCATCACTAAAATTTAATGTTGAGAAACCATTTTTATGTACTTTGACCAACTTACATGTTTCTCTTTGTGATGTTTACTTAAAAAAATAATAGCTTAGTTTATCTTCAGCCAATATACTTAATATTCTGCATCTTTTCTATTTAAATTCATAATACCAGCTTTTTCAAATATTTTCTTGTTAGTCAATTTACTTTATTTATTTTTCAAATCTCTTTTTGTGACCATTTTTCTTACTAAATTTTATTTTAATTGTTCTCTGATCAATACTTTTGCAAATGTAGTGTTGTCCTCATTCAATAACTTTACAACATCTCTTAAAACTGTAACTGTATTATGACACAAGAAAATCTTTATGCATCTTAAATGAAATATCAGTAAGTATGTTTACAATATTAACAAGCACTGAGTTGCATAATAAAATCTCATATTAGTAAATAAATTTTTGTAAATATTTTTTTTTTAAGAAAAACCAATACTATTTGCTAAAATTCAGACAAATTTATCAAATATACCCTGAAAAATTTCTCAAATTTTATTTGTTAGTACCAGTTTTATTGCACAAACATTGACTTGTATAATGAACTCTGGCATAAAATAGTTTGATTTTGGTATAATTGATATAATATGATAAAAAAAACATCAGAAATAATTCTATATAGTAATTTTTTTTAACCCATTTGATCCCTGATGATTCGATGAGTATGGTATATTCACTTTTACACAGTGGCCAGTATACCGGCCATTCGGGTTCAAAGGATTAACTAGTTGAAGTCTTTATTAGTTCTTGAGATAGACAATGAGTACCTTCAGATAAGCCATCACTTGTCTGGCTGTTTTTTCCAGTGATCTGTTTTGGGCCTCGAATTCCAGCTCCCCAGGCCACAAGAGGAGTCAGTGTTTCATGCGGATCACCAGCACCATGAGAACCTGTAAAATTATTATTACAAGTAAAGGGAGGATGAAATGGATATAATCAATCACATTTAATAAACAAAGGACAGATGGTGGACATGTTTGATTTTTATTATGGCAGTCATAAAGGGAAATAATATGGGGCAAACAGAAATTATACAAGGGGACATTAACTTCCTGCTTATGTGGGTATCTTTTTTTGGGGAAAAAAATCTAGGTAAATGATTTTTTTTTTCAGCTCTATAGTCCTTAAAATGTTCCAGTCTTTTGCTAAGTCTTCCACTCCTAGTGGTAGTTGGTTGTGAGGAATTTGTTAGGGATGGAAGTGGTGGTGCATTATGTGGTGGAAGCACTGACTCTGGTGATGGAAGCCTGACTACAGTTGTCTGGTCCCCAAGGGAGGTTGATGCTGGGAGTGGCAATAGATTTGCCTGGGTTGTTGCAGGTAACTCTGCTGTTAGTACAGAGGTGGGTACCAGTTGATTGGAGTGTTGTTTCTAGTCGTTGCCAGGGCTGATTTCCACTGTATGATCTTGGAGCTTGTTGGGAGCTGATCCTTGAATGTTGCCGGTGTTGGTGTCCATGGTAATCATGAGCAAGGATGGTATCACCCACCTTTAGTGGAGTGGGAAGAAATCTATCTGCTCTGATTTGCCAACAGAGTGGTTTTGATATTGGGTTGTACCATTTCCAACTTTGTAGTTTTTGATCATGCATAGTCTGTGTGTACTCACTGCCAGGGCCTATTAGGCCACTGCCAAGTATATAGTGGAGCCTTTGGTAGGTTCAGTTGAGTGATGGAGCACATCACACATGCTTTGTAGCTGCTTCAATGTCCTTGTCAAAATTAGGCCACAAGAAGATTCCTCTGGCTAGGCCTCTCATTTTGACAGTCCCAAGATGGCCTTCATGTAATTCTGGCATGACTTGTTCGTGTAGTTCTTCTGGTATAACTACCCTTCTTCCCCACAGAAAACAGTTGTTTTGAATAGAAAGTTCATATTGTTTCTGATGAAAAGGTATGAAATTTTTCTGGCACATTGTATTCTGGTTAGCCATTTTGGACAAAATAAATTACATGGGATAAGATTGGCTCAGTTCTTGATGCCTTGGCATTTGTGGTTGCCTTAATTGTTCCACTAATTTTTTGGAGAAAAGTGTGTCACCTTCTTCATCTATGTCTCTGCTTGTCTCTGGAAGTGGCGGGCATGATAAACCATTTGCATTTGATTTACTGCTACAAAACTCAATATTGTAATCAAAGCCTGTGAGAAAAACAGCATATCTTTGTAGTCTTGCTGCAGACATTGTTGGAATACACTTCTTTGGGTTAAAGATGAATTTGAGTGGCTTGTGGTCTGTAATATATGTGAATTTGTTGTTGCACAAATAATTGAAAACTTTTTCACTGACCATACAATTGTGAAGGCTTCCTTGTCAAGTTGGGAATAACTGGATTCAGCTTTATTGAGGGTGCTGCTTTATTGATGTGCATGTTATGGGTCACTCTTCTCCATTGATATGTGACAAAACAGAACCGATGCCATATGGACTTACATTGCATGCCAGAACTGTACCAGGACAATGTCTGATGTGATCATCACTGTTGAATGTCTTATCACATCCTCCAGACCATATGCAGAAAATGTCCTTTTGTAGAAGATCATAGAGTGGTTTTGTGACATGAGCAATGTTTTGAAGCCATTTGTGGTAAAAATTTACAAGCCCTAGAAATGAGCGTAGTTTTGTTTTGTCACTTGGGGCTGGAGCATTTTGTCTTTGGTTTTGTGAAAACAATTTTTGGATATTTTTATTCCACAGAAGATCACAGAGTCCTGAAAAAAGGAGCACTTGTCCAAATTTGCCTTGAGACCAAATTCTTGAAGACAGGAAGAACGTTTTTGAAGTTTTTAAAATGTAACTTGTCAGATTTGCCAGTGATTAACATATAATCCATGTTACAAACTACCCCTTCTAGACTTTGTAGAATTTGCTCCATGGTCTTTTGACATATTGCAGGTGCTGATGCAATGCCATAAACTAGATGATTATATTGAGATAATCCTTTGTAGGTGTTTATAATTGTCAGTTGCTTGATCTTCATAGTCTTCATTAATTGTATATATGCCTTCCTTAGCTCTATTTTGGTGAAATTTTCCTCTATTTCAAGTTTTCCTAGCATTTCTTCTATTCTTGGGATGGTATATTGTTCAACTTCTAAATTTGGGTTGACTGTTGTTTTTTAGTTGCCGCAAATGCAGGTACTACCATTGTGCTTTATTACAGTTAGCTTGTCCAATTCTTCCTCCAACTTTACCCTTAAGGCATATGGGACAGTTCTTGCTCTCATGTACCTGGGTACTGTGTCAGGTTTGACTCTCAACTGTCCTTTCATGTCCTTGATTGTACCTGTACCTACCCTGAAGACTTGTGAGAATTCCACTCTCAGTTTTGCAATCAGGCCATTTTCTTTTGCACTGCTTATGTTGTGGAAGGACTTGTATATTTCAAGTTTATAGACCCAGTCTCTCCTTAAGATTATTGCCAATTTTTAAGATGGTGGGAGGTAATTGAAGGCTTTCCTAATACTAACATTTGCCATAATGATTTGATGATTTTGTTGGTATATGTCTTCAGTTGGATTGTGATTCTTTCAAGGATAGGGCTTGTGGAAAATATAATCTTTTAGTGTCATCATTGAAATTGCTGCCCCTGTATCAAGTTCCATCCTCACAGAATTAGAATCCAAAGTTACAGTGAGAAATATTTTATCTGAACTATCCATACAAAAGATTTCAAATTCACTGCCTCCTTCATTTGTTTGTAGCTTGTGGAGATTTCTGTTGCTGTCTCTATTTTTTTTATTTTTTTTTTTTATTGTAGACTTACTTAGATCTACACATTGACTGAATGTGACCACTTTTGTGGCATACGTGGCAAACTGCCTCCTTAAAGTAGCCTGTTTGTGGTTCATCTTTGCAAGGTGGAAAATTAAGGACTTTCCTCTTTTGTTGTCCTTGTCTTGTTCCATCAGTCTCTGACTTCCTGAGGGTATGTATATCCTCCTTATTGTCTGCGTGAATTTCAGTGGTTTTTTTCCATGAAGGTAGTGATGGAGCAAGCCTTGTCAAATTTTAGAGGGTCTTCTTGAAGAAGCCGCTTTTGGGTCATATTGCATCTTTGACTGTACACTAGCATGTTCCGTAAGGCGTCCTTTAAATAATTACCAAAGTTACAATAAACAGATAAAGTCTGATACAGTTTCAGAATTTTCCTGTCTCCTAACATGGAATTTATATTTTTCCAGGATTTCAAGTGGCTTTGAATTAAAGTTGAAGGAGTAACCTGCACAACTCACCGTAAGTTTTGTTTGAGGGCAAGTCGGGGGCTGATAAAGCTTGTAGGGTTGCATACGTCTTGGGACCAACAGAAGAGACAAGAATTAATGTATGTTTGTGTTCTAAAATGTCATATGTGACCACATATGCATCAAGCTTTTCTAAAAGTTTTTCAGTTTGTCAAACATGTCAGGCATATTTATCTCCATGGGGGATATAAGTACGGTTATACTTGTTTTTATCAATCAAAATATTTGGTAAAGTTGTTAAAGGCTTACATCTCAAAGTTTATTATGAAGATACATCACTATTTGTGATGTACTGAGGAAGGATGAAATGAACATATTCAAATGCATTTAATAAACAAAGGAAACACAGTGGACATATTGGATTTTTATTACTGAAGTAATAAAGGGGAATAACATGGAGTAAACAAAAATTATACTAGGGGATGTAACAGTTACATTTAGCCATTTCAAGTGCAAAATGACAAGACCAAGCTACCAATCTAGTACTGTGCTTAAATATGTAAAATTCAGACACCAAAGAGGAAAACTCATCAGAACAATTGTAATGAAAATATTTATAGAAAAGGCCCCTTTACAGTGGTGGGAAAGTGACTGAAGCCAAGATGCCAGATCAGGACTGATAACATTGCAGATTCTCCTTTGTATTTCATCAAGAATCTCTAAATACATAGCAGTAGCACCAGGCTAGATTTGACAACAATATTCAATGCATGGATGAATTTTCAACATCAACTTTTCTAGCAGCAGACCTAACAATGGGTTTAATATTCAATTGTCTACTAATATTTGTCTTATTTTAATGACTATATTTTGCTTGATTATGATGTGATGATTGATCTGTACACAAAGTTTCAGTAAGTGACACGTTAACCTACAAGAAGGTGTAGTGCTTGAGTGTCCAATATAAGAATTTAGTTTTTTTTTGTGATTATTGATAGAGATACAATCTTTCAAAGGACACAAGAATTTATAAACAACATTGTTTTTATGTAGGGAGAAATTTTGAAGTTCAAGTCATTGGTAATAATTAGATGGCATATTTTAAATGTTTTATAGCAATAATAAAATTTAAAATGTTTATTGTAATCATTAAATGATATACACTGATGAATTATATTTTTAATGGATTTTTCATCTTATTTATATTTAGGGTGCATCGAATAAGTTATTAATTTTTATTTATATTAGGATGGTTGTTGGTGTTATTTTTTCCAAAGTTCTATAAGTTTCATTTTATTTTGTCATCAATAACATGGTTGGTTGTTTTATGCTAAGTTTATAAATAAAGATATATTGCAAAAAACAGAAAAAATAGAAAACCTTGAAAATGTGAAGAATAACTTTGCTTTTCACTTATGAACTAAGCATTAATAGTAGAAACTTTCTTTGACATCTTAGGAAATTTCAATGATTACAATTTTACAACTTCTTGTCTTAATTACAAAAGTGAATGTCCTCAAATATATTAAATAGATGTTATAAAAACTTGATTAACCAAGGAAAAATAATTTCTTCTTCATACACATTATTTCTAAAGAAGCTTAAATAAAAAGCAAAAAAGATGTTAAATTTATAAGTCACTCAATTATGTGCCATGCGTGATACACACTTAGGCGATCATGTATCTTTTGATACATGACTGACCAGGTAGATTTTTTTCTGCAGTAGGTTGCCATTTCTTTCTGCAGTAGATTAGTTGCCATCAAAAGCTATAGAACCCAATCTGCCCTGCTATTTACCCATAGCTAGTGGGGAGAAGAAGAGTATTCATACCTTTCCCAAGTGTATTAGGCATGTAAGTGAATGTAATGGATTCAACTGGAATTCGACTCCTCAATCCAAACTGCTATCCATTACTCCACCGTGTAAACTTATAAACGTTTTCTATTTGTTTCTTATACTATGACATTATTTCATAAAGAATTGAGCAATAAATACTTGTCAATAGCATCATCTTTATCAGGCAAGAAAATAAAAGTTCTTTAAGGTTAATTTTAATAATTCCTGTTAATGACCAAGATGGTTAAAAATATTCAAACAAAAATTGAACAAAAACATGAACTTTGGACAATTTATCTACAATTTTGATCTGGATTTGCAACAACTTATTTGAAAGCTGGAAAAATACAATGAAAAATAAACAGACATTGTCAGTTGAATTTAATACAACTCATTTAAATGAATTCCTGATGTCTAAATACACACATACACAAAAAAAAGATAATCGTTACCCCAATTAGTCATGCCATGATCAGCAGTAAAGATGTAGGAAGTCAGTTTATCATTTTCATAAAATTTTTCTATAAGTTTTTCCATTTTTCTGATTCCTTCATCCACAATTCGGATGTTCTCTAAGTATTCACTGTAAAAGTAAACATCATAATAGGATTTTAAATTCTTTCCCAAAACAGTAAACCATAAAGTAATATGTAAACTTACATGGACTTAATGTATTCAAAACCTCAATTTTGTCATCTTTTGATACCAATTATTGGATTGTAATGATGTTTTAGAGTTTCATTTATTCATAATGCAGCATTACTAATAGAAAAATCATGATTTATATTTTTTTAAAGGCCAATAAATCAAATTTTTTACTTTGATTTAATTTTCTAAGTTATCAAATATGTCAAATGAACATTTTTTGAAAAAGTTCAACAAGAATAATTGTTGAGATTTATTGAAAACAAATGCTAAAAAAAAAAAAAAAATTTCATAACAAATAGAGACTAATAAATTTATTTCACTCTTAGCCAGACATTATTCTATGAAATAACAAGATATAAATGCAATATTAAATATGACAGTTGCTACATTCCAAACACTTTTTGGTTTCAGTTATTTTCTATGTATTTGTAAAAACAATTTATGTATTTCAATTTCTAAAAGTAAGAAAATTGGAAAAATTTGTTTAACCAGATTATAAAAACTATGTTCCTTTCAAGATAAAAACATTTTGAATCATGACTAATAATCAGGACTGTGGAGTCAGAACACAAAGCCTTTGACTCCGACTCCTCTTTATTAAGTGATTCTGGCCTACAAATCTCATAAAGCCTATGCATATGCTCCTAACTTGAGGAGGCCTATATCATTATAACTGGTTTATATCAAGGAATAAAGATATTTTGGCTTTTATATATACCTATTCATTCTTCAATATTTTCTGGTAGAATTAGAGACAAAATCTTTGAAAGGATATAGAAGAAATAACAATTAAAATAAAAATGTTATAATGTTAGACTTATATATATATCTTTGCAAATAAGAAATAAGCACAGAACAAAAAAACTACTTTATATCAGAAATGGAAATACAATCGTTTATAGGATGTAAAGGCATAACAAAAATTCTATAATGTAAAATTTTTTTACATAGTTTTGCAAATAGAAAATAAAATGACTTTAAAAAAGAAGTTGAGGTGAATTTCTTTAAAGGAAATAGTAAATATAAGGTAGAAGAAATAAAAAAATAAAAATTGTAAAAAGTGTAAATTCAACTGCATTTGGAGTTGGTACAGATTTACCAACTCCGACTCCAGTGACTCCTTAATTGCTTCCAACTGCACCGCCCTCTGCTAATAATATGGTAAAGAACTCCAGAATATGATTTTTTTTTTCTTCACATAACATTTTTATTAATAGAATCTCATCTGAGGAAAAAATATATGCTATAGAAATCCTACAAGAGTTAAATTTAAAAGCTACTTGCAACTTGTTGGTCACTCATTTCAAAGTATAACTTGTGTATGTAATTAGAATGATACAGTATTAATCACATTGTTTTCAATATATCTAATAGATTATTGTTATTATTATTATTATAGTAGCCAGGAAAATGCATTTTATGTTTCACTTTATACATTTTTTCTTAAGATTTTTAGTAAGGAAAAATTTCAGTGGAATAGTTTAAGGACAAGAGGAAAAAACTGAAGGCAGGGGAACAAAAAGCTGCATTGAAAGTGCAAGATTAGAAATGTTTGACAATTGTAAACTTTCGTTTCAAATAAGAGCAAAAATTTTTATCCTACAATGATTGTTTTAAAATTTGAAGAACATGTTATATAATAAATAACTAATACAACCAACAAAGCTATTGCTGAAATGTTGCTGTCTTTGCAATAAAGATGTGCTCAATACCAACATCCAACATGCAGGCATGAAAATAAGTATCTTTATGCCATTTACTTACTGATTAATGAATAGTAGTCATTTGAGCATTTATTAGTTTTATATATATATATATATATATATATATATATATATATATATATATATATATATATATATATATATAAATACTCACTGAAATTTGGTTAGTTGTTTTATTTTATAACATGTCAACTATTGTTACATTATTTAATGTTGAATTTTGTATGGGGGCACCCAGTGAGGATCAAAGTCTACTCACTAGTAATGGTCAACCAGATTAGTCTCACTAACCATTATGCCATGCTGAGGTGGCATACTATGTGTATACATTTCTTTCAATGGATATAGAAGAACTAAGAAGTGTTAGAATGTTTAAGCTCTTCATCACAAACTATAAAAGAGAATTTTGCCCACCATATCACAATGGTCTTGCTAGTATATAGAGTTTGAGTCACATTAAATATACCATATTGTCCAGATTAAGTTCAGTTTAGTTTGTGTGTATATATATATATATATAGATAGATAGATAGAGAGAGAGAGAAATAAATTAAAAGAGAGTGATAAACTAATTTACAACCAGAGGAAAAGATCATCTTCTATTTTGGCCAGCTGAGTAGTCATATCATTTTTAATATCTGTTTTTCTTTGTTAATCTTGAGAAGAACTTATTTAAATAAGATGAAAAAGAGATAAAATGATGATTTTTCTGCTCTAGTGCCTCTAGAAATTGATGAATTATACTCATTATATTTTAAGAGGCTTTTAAAATAATGTACCTTAAAGAATAAAATTTTAGAAACATGCTTACTGGGAATGTGGTCGGTAGGAATGGCCATTGGTGTCAATGCCAAGAAGATGAAGAAAAAAAACAATCTTATCTTGCTTCAGTTTGGAAAATAGTGTTGGATTTTGATGAGCATTAGCAAAGAATTCCTGAAACAAAATCAACAAAACACTTTTATTATGGTTTTATATTGACAGAAAATCATAAAAGAATTTATAGCTAAAATAACAGCTAAGTGGAGGATAATCTGACTTAATGTTTTAAAAATTTAACTAATTTTTACTCATTCTTTGTAACATTAAAAAAAAAAAAAATCAATCAGGATACCAAATTTGAGAGTTCAGAATATGACAAGATTTGTGGAGGTCTATGTGGCCCAGGGTGGGGTATCTGTTTATAAGTGCTTATTTTCAGATAATGTCCTTAATCCACCAAGTTTTGGCCTTTTAAAAATGAATTCAAAGATAATTAATACAAAGATATATATTGCATGTACTGATAAAAATTCATATCTCTTAAAATAAAATATACAATATTTAAAGAGTTCAGAAGTATATATCAGAAAGTTCTCATGCTGAATGTCTAAGGTCCTTAAGCATATAAGAGAGATAGAGAAGAGAGTCCTTGTAAATATGTATGTATGTATCTCATTAATAGTAGTAATCCTCTGTGGGATCTTTAGCTGCCAGAAAATGTAGGCATGGCAAAATGGCTGAAATAATTTTGTCAACTTTCTAGATCCTTTACCTAGTCATTTCTCAGTGTTTATCACTTTTTAAGAGACAAAGGAATTCATTCCAGAATTGTTTCTTGATTTCTGATTGGTTCACAGATATGACTCTTTTGACCATCCCTTTTTCTTCACCTACATTTAGGAATGATGACCTTTTGGCCTCTTTTATCTATTTCCTTTTTTTTCTTTTAGTTTTTATTTCTTTATGGCAAACCAAAATGGTTTGCCAACTTTTAGTTTCTATTTTTTTTTTTTGAAATAGCGAACTTTTTATTTTTCTATCACTACAGATTCTTTTGATAATTTTTGTAACTTTTTCTTGTTTTTGAATAAAGTAACAGATGGTTGGTTCAAGTGTATGTAAAACTTGTACATTTCAACCATCACTAGTCATTTTTGAAGAATAAAATATATTAGGTTCTTGAAATTCAAGAAAACTTTGATGCATTAGCTTTTTATTTCAATATAGTGTTGATAAGTTGATACTTTTAAATCATGCTTTCATGTACTGATGGGCATTGCAGGCCACTTATAAATGTAAGGCTGTTTGTAGTATATAAACAGTGCTTATTTTTTTTAGCTAATATAGTTTTTGTTTTTATGATTATGGCTTTGTGTATTTATAATATTTTTCCAGTTTTGTTGTATATCTTTGTGTTATCTATAAGTGTTTGATATTCATAGGAATATGAGGCTTTCTGTGCTACCTTTATCAATATAAACTTTTATAATATTAGCAGATAAATGGTATGTTTATCATCGTCATCCTTCGACCTCCCTATGGTTGGTCAGAACTCCATTGACAATCCCTTTTCATACTGTTTGGTCCTGTATTGCTGTCCCCAGATCCCCAATGTCCAACCCTGAGTCCCAAGCTATGGTGTCTGGGAAAGTCAATTTTCATGAGAAAACACTTCCAGAAGGATGTCATAGGAATAAGGATAAAATGATTTCCTTGTAATGGCATGTTAGTTGACATGAAATTATTGTAGTTGTTTGACCTGTGTAAATATTAGATTTTTTTTATTAACTTTTGAAATACAATCTAATAGGGAAGAAAATTCATATATTAGATTAGTCTTATTTCACAGAAATATTGAGGGCCAGTATTACATGGGACCTGTTCTTCATTTTTTTTATTTTCGCTTCTCACACACTATTTTATAAAGAACTCAGCAACATAAAAAAAGCATTAACAATGGCTGGCATCTACTATACAAATTCTAACCTTATATAGTTACAAATAAACCTCCACAAAAAAACAAAAATAAAGAAAATAACAAAAAATAAAACTTAAATAAAACTGGTTTAATAAGCAAATTTTCTTCCCAGTTAGAAATATTTAAGCTTTGTGTCTCCAAAAAAAATGTCTCTCAAAAGAGTAGTTATTCCTTTGACACCACTATTACTGTTTACACTTTTGACGTTGTTTATTGAGAAGATAAGAATTTGTGAACAAAATACATTGCAATATTTATTATTTACCTTTTATAAAAAGTTATTATTTATTATTTTAGAAAGAAATAATTATAAAAAGAAGTATTTTTATTCAAAAATTTATAAAAAAATTTTACAAAATTAAAATATGCAAACTAATCACAAGGCAATATTTATTATTTACTATTTTATAAACATCTATTAAAACAAGTTTTTTTTTTTATTCATAATTTTATAAAAATATGAATAAACTATGAAACAAGAAAATTTGAATAAACATGATTATTTATTTCAGTTTTTAAAACAATAAACATTATCAAGGGAGTCAGAAATGTATACAGTAATGGTGGCATCAAGATAATAACTGTCCTTTTGACACAACATTTTTTTATGGGCATCAAGGTTAAACATTGCCAAATATTCTATGTCACTGATGATATTATAGGGAAAAGAAAAGTAATTTTATAAAGCTATTTTTTTATTTTTCAGTCAGTCAAAAAGACTTGTCTAATTATAATTATGCTAAACTTTACTTTTCTAACTAAATGTAAATATATTTCTTATTAAAGTAAGTGATTACATCAGTCTCTATAATATGTATACTTATGTGACTGAAGTGTTTCAATATTACATTGTTAAATTATGTCCTTTAAATATCATCTAACTGAGTTGAAAATACTTTTCCATGTCAAACCCAAGAAGATTATTACAATACATTCAATTTCAATTACTTAATTATTTTTATGAAAATTAATGAATTATTTTGATTGGTTAATATTTTAAAATACTTTATTAATAAGTGAGAAGCATAAAAATAAATAATGTTTCTATAATGTTAGATTTTGCAAAAAAATTCCAATTTATTTTGAGAATCCATTGGTGATTAAATCAATTTTGTTACAATTTCAACAGAAACCAAGGTTTCTTTTTATCCAGAAATTAACACATCTCATCTCTTATCAGATGATTTGAGATGTCATCTTATTTAAGTAAGTTGGTAATTTCTAATCTTTGAAAGTTCAGGCACAAAAATAAAAAGAAAAGACCCTGTTTCAAAGTTCCCTGAAAATTATAGGAAATGGCATTACATAAGCTGCCAAAAATAAAAATAAAAAACTAATTAAATGTATACTTCTGCTATTCTCTCAAGAAACACCAAATAATTCTTTCTAACATCATAATGAAAGGGAAAGTTTTAAAATATGACAGGACTTAAATATGACATTAAAAAATAATGATGTTTGGGAGTAACATTTAAATTTTAGCTAGAGTGCATGGATACTCTGATCCTAGGCAGAAGTGTCAATTTATATGTAAATAATCTTATCAGTTTTCATGCATATAATACTATAAAAGCAGATTTTATTTGATATTTAAAATGTTATAAATGATGCAAAAAGAAAATCAACAAAGTTCAGTTAGCTAAATAAGTAAGATAGGCCAATATTTTTCAAATAAGAAATTTAGCAAAACGTTGATTTTACATAATTTTCATTAAATTAAAATCCGTTAAATTACAGACTTGTAATGTTTATCTTGTGAAAGGTGACAGACCTAATCTGAGTGGGTATTTAAGTTGTATATAAATGATTAATAATGTTCTTGAAATAAATTTTTACATACTTCGACTTTTTTAAATACCCAAGAATCCAGACGGGAAGAATCTGTACTGCCAAAATCCACTTTTTCAGGTGCATACATATATATGTAGATATGCTGACGTGTGACACCTATAAGAGAAAATGGAAATGAAAATGGAATGTACAGAAAATCCTGCCTGCAAGGAGGTGATTAAAGTCAAATGCATAAATACTTTCTACATGAAATTTTATAATTTTCTTCATATTTCTGATAAAATACAATAACTAGAATAATAAATATTTTTATGGCAAGGAGAAAGTCCATGATGATGATGATCATCATATATAAAATAATATAATATATAAAATAAATAAAAATGAAATATAAAAATAATATGACAAAGATATTTACATGAAAGAAAGAATTCTCGATTACTACAAGTGTGAGTATTATTCATATGTACCTGGGGTTTCTTTTTTGTTTGACTAATATGGCACTATTAAGAGATAAAAATGGAGGAGTGGACAAAAAGAATCAAATATTCATGATAATCAAAAAAAATCTGTAGAATAAAGGCAAATAGATTTAATGATGGGTAAAATATCATCACAATGTCCTTTCTCAGATTTTATATTTTCTCAGTATGAAACCTCAATATAAGCATAAAAGTTACTTCCTGTAATTTCAATGCAAATAGATGTGCTATGCATGTACAAACACAAATTCTATTCTTGTATTTCCCTGACTGGACTACAACTTCTTCATACACACCTTTTATTAATGTTTTAATTGAATCCAGATTCACAACACATTCTGGTAATTTTTTATGACTAATGTACTAGTGAAAATAAATGACTCTACTCATTAAATTTTAAACCTGTCCTCTTGTAATTTAAGTTATATAACCAAAGTCAACCAAAGTCAACATTCATCATTACACTGTAATTGATAATGTATCATCACTTCTACAATAATATCTCCATAGGACAATAGCCTAGTGCAGGGATGGGGAACCTGCAGCCTTCTGAGTCATCATGTGCGGCCTTCTGCATCTTTTGAGCTGGGCTGGGGAGTCAGATAATTTTGAAAAGTTGAAGTAAAAAAAATGTACTAGTTCCAGCTCCATAAACTAAATGTTTGTAATAAATTTTCTTCTTTCTCAGCAATAATTAAATTTATCAATCTGAGCTTGTGTTACAGGTGTTCAAAAATAACATAGTGTAGTTTGAGTTGGTTAAGGTTTCTTCTCTGGTGTTAACTTGGAACCATTAAGATCTTTATAACAAAATTATATATATCATCACACTAATATTATTTTACTTGTAATAACAGTCTTCATTAGTTAGTGACATGTCTGTTGGTTACACCTTGGCTAACTTTTCACTTTCTCTGTACTAAAAATTTCAGCTGGATGTCTTCCTTTTCTTCTTTTTCTTTCTCCATGATAACAAAAACTTGATAAAAATATTTTAACCAAAAAAAAAAAAAAAGTCATACATATTGTATGAAAGAAAATTTAATTATTTTTAGCTAGAAAGAAAACCACAAAATTCAAACCATCTTTTACCGGTGATTATATTTAATTTAATTTTATACTGTAAGTATGACTAGTGTTGAAAGCAAAAAATAAAAAAAATTCTCTAGCTTGGCTAGTGAAATTGGCAATTCAAGAATAGAAATTAGTGACTATGTGCGAAGTAAATATTCAATCAATGAGGAGAAACTAGAGAAACAAAGAAGGAAATTCTGGAGCCTATGTTAGAAATAAATATTCAACTACTGAGAAGCATGGCTTTTGGGAAATTAGAGAAAAAGAAAAGAAACAAATTCATGAGCTGGTGCGATAAAATAAAGTGACATATAAACAGATACAAAGTGTTGACAGAAGACAGTAAAGAAAGAAAAAAAAGAAACTTGGATATAGAAGGATACAAATGTAACTCAATTTAGTAGTTAGCCTTTCAGAACATTGATGACAAATTTATTTCTATGACTCAACTTACAAAGAAAAACTTCTACTACTGAACAAAGGACTGGTGTAATATAAAAACCAAATTCCATTCTCCTTGGTAAAATGATACGCTATCTTGCAACCACCCTACTTGTCAACCTGAGTAAGTAAATATTTTTAACATTGACTCTTTTCATCTATCACCTTTCAAATACTAATCTCACACTACTTCAATTAACAATGGATTTTATACTTTTTTAACATTATTTGTTCTTTGGAATTTTCACTGAAACATTGAACTTATAGTTAAAGGATAATTGTGTTGTACTAAAATGTGCTGCTAACTTTATATTGTTATCAGTAATCAATTATTGATTATATTATAATCAATAATAAGAGATTAGCAATGGCAGTGGTATATTAATTTATTGATATATAGATGAGACAATATGGACATCAAGTTGAGCAAGAAATCACCAATTGGTGGGTAGTGCCTTACAATACATATTTGTTGCGACAATTCAACTGTCATATCAATGTTGAAATCTGATCATCAATTCATTCAATCAAGTATTGCATCAAATACATATCAAAGGGTTTAGATCAAGATGTTTTTACACAAACCCCTCACTGAAATTTTGTTTCCCTTGATTTAAATTAAATTTAAATTTGAACAAGGGAATGACTCCTATCCAAAATATAGACAGAGGTCACCGGCAAGATCTTCGAGTAATATTGAAATGTATCATTTTTCTCCACAAATTATAACAATGATTTAAAATCAATCATCATTTTCTTATTAAAAAAAAAAAATGTGTGACACGCAGCATTGTGCGGGTAATTCAGCTAGTAATACATATTAATCAGTACAGAAATGCAGAGGAAGCTGCAAGGACGTTAGCCATGATTAATTAAAGGCGAGATGAAACATTATTTCAAATTATGTACATATTTTGACAATCAGGGTTAGTTAAATGAAAATCTAACTTACATTCTTATTAATATGATGGTTAAGGCCTCAAATCTAAGGTTTTGTTAAAAGCTTTAAAAGCAGTTAAAAACAGTCAAACAATTTATGAAAATGTCAGGAGGATATGGAGACTAGCAACTAAGAGAGAGAATCTGTTAAGCAGTCATACCTTAGGAATGTAAATAATATAGAGAAGACATCATAAGAAAGGCAAGAGAGAAAGTCTAAATGGCGTTAAATAGAGTGAAAGATCTTAAAAGGTTGGAGCTTCTACATAATACTATGCCATGTCTAGAACATTTGCACACACACGTTTATATTTTCCTGAAGGATAAAATCAATATTTATCCCATGTTTGGATCATATTGCTGTGGAAACATTTTACATGATTCACAATATTTTTCTTCATTTATGCTGATGACATAAACCATTCACTCCTGTTTCAAAACTAAGTCTGTCTGATCAGTTTGATTAGGTCAAATTGGCAGCTGATCTCACAGACGACCTATAGTCTGTTGTTAACTGGGGCAAAGAATGGCTTGTTAATTTTAATGCCTCTAAGACTAAACTGCTCCTTTAATCATATCAATCCAGCCATGTCAATCGTTATTTACTCTCTTCCTGATTATTCTTCTATTGTTTCTACTTTTTCATAATGTTTTCTGTTTTCAAATTCTTTCACACTCAGTAACACTTGTGTCTTAGTGGCTTTGCTGCATTGCTTAGGGGGTGAATTTGATTAAAAAAAATTTCTATAATAGAAATTCTTTAAAATGAAGGAATTAAAGGTATCTGGTTAAATTCCTTTCCTTTGCTGTTGTTTCTTTGAGAGATTTTATTGGTAGTGGTATTAGTAAAATTCTTATGAAGCTGTTTATGGGATATTTTGGTAGTTCTGCATGTTATATTATAATTTATAATATTTGTTAGATTTTCAAAATATATTACTAAAAGAATGTCAACATTGGTTACTTCCCTTCACACTGAAGCAGTGATCTCAATGAAAAAAAATAGTTTTATTTGAATAACTAATTCCAAAAGCTATCAATAAAAGAATCACTTATTTATAAAGATCACAAAAAATCAAATTCGAAATTAAGGAAACTTTTCTTTTTTATCATAACAGACTTTTGTACTCTTAAGAATTTTAATATAGTTTATTTAGATAAATCTAGAATCATAAATCTAAAATAAGAAGGAGCAAGTGAGATTTGAGAAAATAAATGACAATGACAAGGATGCCTCCAGCAGTGATTTTAATTCTAAGCATTGCTAAGTAGCAATGTTAATGTGTAGATAAAATGTTTACCTTTAGCAAACATTGGTAGTATATCTGGACTTCCCCATGACCAAGTGTAGTGACTTTCATTGAAAACAGAATCAAACTCTACAGGATTTTCTTTCCAACCTTAAAATAGAGGGAAAACAGAAAACTACATGAACAAAAAAGCCCTCAATTTTCAGGATAAACTTTTGTATTTTTATCAGATAATATTTGGTGCATATAATATTGATGGTAGACATACACACATACAACACAAATTTGTATTAAGTAATTCGTAAAAGATAAAGTAATCATTTAATATCCTGAATTTAGTCTTTATGAATAAATGATGGCAGTATGAATTTGTTATAAATATGCTTCTGGAGCAATAATGTTTGCATGTAAAAGACTTTGTATATTATATAAATTTTACAATTAAATTTTCACTTAACTATTCCAGAAAAATGACTTAATAAATTTTTTTTTTAATCAACTGAAAACGGATCCTTTTTATTCTTACCTTTTGCTACTGCACTTACATCTTCATAGAAGCCAGCAATAAGTGCCACATGACCTGGCCGAGACTCTGTGGGGACATGTGTATGAGATACACCCCAAGCACCAACATTCTCTATGATATTGCTGAATGTAAGTAAATCATTCATAAATGTTAGTAAAATCAATTTATTGTAATGAAAAACATTTGGAAATAGAAAATAAATTGTATATTTCATTACTTTGATTTACTTTAACAATTATTTAAATATTAGAAATTATGGATGACTTCTTACTAATATCTTAATAATTTAAATTCTTGCTTACAAAAGATCTGAAGTTCAAATATAGATGTGCTATGAATATTAAAAATAATTCAGTTATTTTTGATAAAATTAACTTGAGAGAAAAAGTTACAGACTAAAGTAGTAAAAAAAAAAACAAAACAGAAAGCATTCCTTGTTGCATTTTTACTCTTGATACCACTTTAAAAAATCAAAATGTTTTGGGTCAATTTGTTCTACCAAACACTTGCAAAAGGACTAGATTTTATTTAACTGACACAAAAATCCTTTGGTCGGTATGTTAAATAAAGTCTTTACAATCAATAAAAACAAACAAATTTTTTCTATTTCTTAATTTGATTTGTCTCTTATTTTCTGTTCTAGGTTTAATTTACCCATTGACTGTCAAAAGTTACAAATTAAATTAGACAATCCCTTTTACAGAAATAGACTAATGAAAATTGAAATAGATATTAAATAAATGGAGAATCGGGTCAACCAGACAAGAGACCCATAGTTGGTCGCATGTGGGACAGTAAGCACCCGGAGTTACGTCCTCTTGCACAATTGACTTTCAAATACTTATAATCTATTTATTAACTATGGCTTTTACAAGAAATGGATATGAGAAGAAAGTGTTTAGCATGAGGTTTTATTTAAAATTCAATATAGGCACTAGATTTTGCTACCAGCCCAGGAATTGCATCAACTGATTTTATCAGGAACAGCATGGAAGATATAACTTCTTGCCTTTCAAGTTTTTCCAAAGTCTTGATTTGGTATAATAGACTTGCTCCTTTAACCAATTCCAAAGAAAAAAGTGACAGGGGTTTTAAAGTCAGGACTCCTAGCTGGCTACTCATACATAAAATAGGGAGTTATTTTTTAATCACCCTGTACTTAGATTAGGTGGCACTGACAAAATTTTCATATGAACAATACTGGGCAGGTATTAGCCAATAGTCAGTGTAGGTCTGGAATGGAGAGAGAGAGCTATATAACACTAGCTTTTTCTCAGTTGAAAGGGGTATTCTCAATGTGCAGACAACCAGAGAAGATGAACACAATAAATTCATCTGATAATGAATCATTTTAAGTAAGACCTAAGATTAAACTTTCACATTGTTCCATGGTTTATGCAGAAAAGTATATTTCTATTTATTTTGGACACACATTTCAGTTGGTTCATTTTTCAATACTGTTTAAAGTTCTTAGATAGTCATTATTTAATGTATTATGCAGACAAGGATTTAGCTTTAAATGGTTTTATTAGTTTTAAACAATACAAATGTTTGATGTATTTTTTTTTTAGCATTTTCTGTAAATAGAAGTAAAAAAATAAAGTATTTGTGAAACATTGACATATGCATAGAATATAGTACAAAGTTGAAACTTTAGAGTCAACATTTTTAACACTAAATCATTCTAATAATAATTATTAAATTAAAAATTTGCTCATGAATATTTACATATATTAAAAAAAAAAGACACCAAAATCTCTTACTGCAATTGATTATAAATGTTTAAATATTTAGAATAATTCATACAAGTAGAATCTTTTCTAATGAAGTCATGCCTTAATTTCTTAGAAATTTTACTATTATGATACCAAATTAAACAAAGTTGCACTCAATAAGAAAAGTAATTAAGCTTTTTATTTAAAATGCTATAAATACTCACCGTAGGTATGGAGCTCTAATCTCACCACTTCTTGGTAATTCAAAAAATTTGTCGGCTCGAAGTCCATCTGCCACAAATAAGACAAGTCGTTTGGCTGGAGCCAATGTTTGGCTGGAATAAGGTGTCATACCATGGACAAGTGGAGATTTGAAATAAATATCAAAAATAGAATAAAAAAGTATCAGATGAACTCCAAGTCCAAACAATAATAACTTCCAATTTTTCATTTTGTTAATATGCATTTTCATATGATTATTATTGTGATTTTTTCATGGGATGGGCTTGAAACAAATAGCCCATATTATTAAATAATTCAGAGCATCCTGAAAGCCTGATGTCCAATAGAAATACATGGTAGTACTTGGACAGCATTGGTAAAAAAAAGCAGATTTATCTGAAAGAAAAAAAAAAGAAGCTACTGTAAAAATCAGTAGATTGTTGCATACATATGCATTAATTCATAAACTTACTGAAAAATCATATTCAGTTAATCTTTGTTTTAACCAAAATGTTCCATTTTTTTCTATAAAGAATGTCTACACAATATTCTGATATTAACACTTTAAGTAACAATTCCTTCATTAGTTAAAAAAAATTATCTAAACCTTTTGAAAATTTTCTTTTACAAATCATTTAGCCTCTCTCTCATATATATATATATATATATATATATATATATATATATAGAGAGAGAGAGAGAGAGAGATAGAGATAAAGAGAGAGATAACATTTCACTGCTAATATATCAATAGCTGCTTATTTCTGAATTAAACGTTATATATTGTTTAATTTTGTTTTGAACTCACAGTTCTACATGAGGACAACATTGATGCAGCTCAAATCCAGAAAGAGCAGGATGAAAAACTGGTGGAGGAATGCAAAGCCATGGGGTAACAGGCTAAACATTTCCCTTTTGAGCTTTGGCTGCAGAGGATACACAGGCGTTCACCTATAGTGATGGCCAGTATTTATTGGAATCAAACAGAGAATAAGTGCAACCCTAAAGAATCTCCAAGCAGTAACTAAAAAAAGGCTCAAAAGATATGAATGTCAGTTACCCCTGATTGAAGGCAAAGTAATTAATAGGCAATAAATCAGTCAAACTAGGTATTGGGGAAGGGGTCTCACATAAGTGAGGGAAGAGGTAGTGCACAGTAAAATCTACTGAAAAGCGGGCCCCAAAATGGAACACATTCTGTCCTGATGACCCCAATAACTTCCTGGTATCCAGTACATGGTGCATTTGATTGGCCACACTTACAGTAGCAAGTTCAAATTCAAAATATGATGGAACCAATTTGAATATGGTTTACCTTCAATTGTGCAATTAAAATTCTCTTACAAACATCACTATTTTCTACTTTTATCAGATTTGGTATCACTTTTAAGTAAATAATATACAATAATATACAATAGTATCAATTTGTTTTTAATGCCATGTCCCTTCAGTATGTAGCTGTTAAGATTCATTTTCTTTATTATCTGTAAATTAAACTGACTTCTTGGAAATTATAGTGTTTTCCTGTTGCTTTCTCCATGGTTTTGAATTCAATTGTTGTTCTAAACTGATCGCCACTCAAGGCTAGTTAGCCCAGTCTATCCTGCTATTTAACCCATAAATAGGAAGGTAATAGATATGGAGTCATGTCTTTTCCTAGGGCAGTGGTTCCCAAACAGTGCAGCATACCACATGGGCATGGCAGAAGAGGATAACAGGTGAGGTGGAATGACTGAAAGACAATCAAAGATTTAGAAACAGTTTAAAATATTAATATAACAAAAATAAATACGATTTCAAAATTTAAAATATTATTATGGATTAACTATAATTGCATGCATGAATCCCAATATAAATAGTTATAAATATTATTAGTGACTGATTTTATCATTGGGATATTTTTGCATTATATCAAGTATTAAGAATATAGTAACTAGGGTTTTTAAATTGTAGGAGAGAGTTATCAATGATAATGTCCTGACTTCAAATTCATGGCTATCTCCCTTTAAACCCCTCTCTATTTTATTTTTAAATGTACTTTTTATCATATAAAATTTGGTGATGCATGAGCAAATTTTCATTCTGAAATTCATTGCTGCCCAGAGGAAAAAATTTGGGAACTATGCCCTAGGGCATTAACGCAAAGTAAATGCAAGAGACTAGGATGGAATTCAATCTTGACTTGCCAATTCCACTTTCATTGCAAATAACAATTACACAACTTGCACATCCAATAGTGTAAATATATTTTAAAATTGTAATAAATGTTCTTTTTTATTGTTTTATTCATTTATTTTATAGTTTGTTTTAATTTCTGAATTTACAATCAGATTAGATATTTAAATAAATTTTTAAAAAAATGGATTATCACCTGTACTATCATGAGTAGAGAAATATTTAAAAATTTCAGATATATGAAAAACACCCATTTCCACATGCCACTTCAGTGTTGTATCTGTTAAGAAGGGTGACTAATTACTGTTTAAATATCCTGACATCTGCAGCGGTACCATCTGTGGAAACAGCAATTTTTATTACTACCCACTGTGTGGGGCTCTAGAGAAAACTTGACCTTGTGTCACATTCCATTTTCAGACTTAAATAATATTAGGAAGGAATAATGATTGTCATTTCTTGTATTGGTAAGTTTTTTTCATTTTCATAATTTTTAAATTTTGTAATGTAATATTTCCTTCACTAGCTTTTTTTTTTTTTTTTTTAAGTTCCATTTGCCTTATTTTAAACCTTGTTGAAATATTTCTTCAATTTTAGAACAAATTTATTTTAGCACTATGGTCACATTCTTGAGGTATGATTCAAATCCAAGTAACAAAAAGTCACAGAAAAAAAGAAACAGGACCATGAGTTAGCACCGTTTCTGTGTCTTTATTTTTTTTTTTGAGCCCTATTCCTAACTTAACCATATCCCTAAGTGGAAACCTAGGATCTCAGTGCTGCTGTGGATCAACAATACTTGAATTTTTATTTATTTTTATTGTTTTGTCTATTTTTTTTTTTTTTTCTAAAATAATTTGATTTGAATTTGATAATGACGCGTTTTTGTTAGTCTGCTATGTTAACTTAAAAATAGTTTTAAAATTAAAAGTTAAGATCTTACTAACATATTTTTTTTTTCTTAATAAATGTTCAAATGAATATTTTATATTCGATTTAAACATTTGTTCTGATTCGGGCGTTTGTGGCTTGGAAAAAAAAAAGGGATTTTATTTTAATAATTAAATTATGTTTTAGTTTTTTTTTAGCAATATCAATCTCGTTCTCATTGAGCAGTTAAAAAAAAAAAACAACAAAAAAAACGAACTATGAAATGAGTATTTTATGCCCGAATTCACAAGATCGAAGTTTTAAAATGTAAGATCTGACAGGCGTACAAAGATTGCTCGAGTCCCCACGGCATTTCCCCTTCTGGGGAGACCTAAGGCACCTAATATTAAAAATGTTAGCCTCTCTCCTGCGGGAGAAGTAATAAAACATGCTGGGATGCCTTCCCGGCAAGGCCCGGAACGGAATTAATATTTACTCCTACCGACCAGGCGGAAATATTTTTATATTGCAATTGCATTTATTAAATTCAGTAATCAGAAAATTTAATTTTAACGAGCTGCACCGTTGGTCCTCGGAAAATAAATAAAAAAATGATTGATATTATTTACGTAACATGTATGTAGTTTTTCTGATTTATTTTTAAAATAAATCAGAAAAACTACAACTACACAGGAAAGAAACTTCATATCACACCGGTAGTCATATTTCGGTAGTTTGGTATTTCGCTATCAAAAAAATAATTTTTCTGACGAACAAAGAAAAAGTATTTATGTATTTATTTATGTGTTTTCTTATTGAAAAATCTGTTTATGAAAATACAAAGAGCAAAATAAATATACAGAAACAGTTTTTGTGTGAGTAAGTTTTGTGAAATAGTACGTACGTAATGTAATGTAATTCATGACTTATGAATGACTAGTGACTATATTGAATAAGAAGCGTATCTTAAATTTCTACACTCTCTACAGTACACGTTTTTTAAGGAAAATAAACTATAATAAAATTGTTAAAACCAAATCAACTTAAAATAATTTCTGTACAAACATCACGCATCATTAGCTAATAAACTGTTTTGAACTTTTTCACTAATGCTCGCCTAAAAATTTACAATAAATTTCTAAGTGGGCCAAATAATTTGTCCATAACACACCTAAGTATTCTAGACAAGTTTTGTTCGTTTTTTTTTTGTTTTTTTTTTTCAGTAGTCATTTAAATTTTAAAAAATCTTGACATCACTAACAATCTTTGTTGGATTATAAAGACATAAAAAGGTAATTTATATTCGAATATGATTTTGCTTTTTTTTTTTACACTAAGTACTAAATTTTTTAACCTTGTTATGACTTCGATCTTTTTATTGTACTTATGAGCTTTTAATTATCTCTCTATATTTTTAAATATGTTTTTAATTGATAAAAATTGGCACCTTGTTTTATATTCGATCATGTGTGTGTGTGTGTGTTAAACTGGAAGACTAAACAGAAACTCGATGCTTACTGTTTACGATATTATCTTGAATCAAAGAAGGCCTCCATGTGGTGTTATCAAAGGGGCAGATAATCCAATTCTCAATGAATTAAAAAAAATACTGTCAGACTGTAGATCAAATTGCGAGAAAAATGATCTTGGGCTCTTTTTTTTAAGGAGATTAATGAAAATATAACTTCATCTTATCTCACAGATATTAGTGACATTTGATTAAGGGTAATGCTACAATCACTATACCTGGTGTGCAGGTTGGTGATGAGTTTGTTGTAGACCCACCCTTAGCTGAGTGTGCACTCACACAAGGGTATAAACATTTTACACACTATGTAAATAATATTAATCTTTTCAATGTATGACAGGAAAAAAAAAAGATGAACAAATACAATTCTTTTAATTCCGTCCTCATAAAATCTAGCAGCAAGTATTTCATAATTTTCCAGTTTATAGTTGAAACATACCTACTTAAAAATTATAACATACCTTAGAGTCCAAAATCCATTTTAATGCTCAATAAGAAATTTAAAAAAAAACTTCTGGGTTACATTAAACAGCTGGTCACCAGTATATATAAATCAG